TAACTCCTGATTTTCCCCTCTAAACTTGTATTATCCCTCAAAATCCACCATTTGACTTTGTCCCCTCAGGATAAAAACAAAGGAGTTGTGCATTCTCTTTCACCCTATCACAATCATCAAGCAAACATCAGTTCTACATCCAAAGGCATTTTAGAATTTGCATACCCCTTAACCCACTATTACACCTTAAGACTAAACCACCATTATTCTTTCATCAGATGCTGCAAGAAGCTTTTCTAACTGGTCTTCCTGCTTCCTCCCTTGCCCTGCTAGAATCTAGGCCAGGACTCAGAACTTTTTTCTGTAAAATGCCAGATAGTAAATATTTTAGGCTTTGCTAGCCATATGGGTCTCTGTCACAAAAAGTTTTTAATTTTGATGAAATCCTATTTTTTCCTTTGTTGTTGCTTTCTGCTTTGGTGTCACATCTGAGAAACCATTGCATATCCAAAAGATCAATGATCTTTTTAAAACTTAAATTGACAATTTTCATTCTATTTTAAACACCTCCAGGTTCTGAAGATCTGGCTTCCCTCTGACCTCTTCCATCTTGGCATCTCCATACAATTTCATTACACTTTACACTTTGAGTAGGCGCTCCAAAGAGCACTCTAACTCCAGGGCATTTTGTTTACTATTCTTATACCTGGAATTTTTCCCAGACAAACTGTGTGATTTGCTCTTTTTTTCATTCAGGTTTCTGCTCAAATGGTGCCTGTCAGTGAGGCCTTCTCTCTTAAAGGACTATTTCCCTGGCCTCAGTTAACTTGCTATCTCTCTTCCCTCCCTAACCACATACTACTGCCCATCTAACATTTAAAAACAAGAAGTTGATGTAAATATTTTATTTTCTAGTAAATTCCAGTACTACAAGGGTGGTGAAACAATAATACACTGAAAAACGTAGCAATTAAATATCTATTTAAAAAGACTGAGTAGGGCTGGGCACAGTGGCTCACGCCTGTAATCCTAGCACTCTGGGAGGCCGAGGCAGGCGGATTGCTCAAGTCAGGAGTTTGAAAACCAGCCTGGCAAGAGCAAGACCCTGTCTCTTACTATAAATGAAAGAATTAATTTGCCAACAATATATATAGAAAAAAATCACCGGGCATGGATGCATGCCTATAGGCCCAGCTACTCAGGAGGCTGAGGCAGAAGGATTGCTTGAGCCCAGGAGTTTGAGTTGCTGTGAGCTATGCTGACACCACAGCACTCCACTCTAGCCTGGGCAACAAAGCGAGAACTCTGTCTCAAAAAATAAAAAATAAAAAAAATAAATAAAAAGACTGATACAGGCGGGGCACGATGGCTCATGCCTGTAATCCTAGCACCCTAGGAGGGCGAAGTGGGAGTATCCTTTGAGCTCAGGAGTTCGAGACCAGCCTGAGCAAGAGTGAGACACCATATCTAATAAAAATAGGAAGAAATTAGCATGGACAACTAAAAATATAGAAAACCAAAAATATAGAAAAAATTAGCCAGGCATGGTGGTGCATGCCTGTAGTCCCAGTTACTCGGGATGCAGAGGCAGAAGGATCGCTTAAGCCCAGGAGTCTGAGGTTGTTGTAAGCTAGGTTGATGCCACGGCACTCTAGCCTGGGCAACAGAGTGAGACTCTATCCCATAAATAAGTAAATAAATAAATAAATAGACTGATATAATAAACAAAAACTACCAAAGGGGGAAAAAGAAAACCATATAAACAATCTGAAATCCCAAGAAGTCCTGGGCAACAGAGTGAGACTCTGTTCCATAAATAAATAAATAGACTTATACAATAAACAAAAACTACCAAAGGAGGGAAAAGAAAACCATATAAATAATCTGAAATCCCAAGTCCTAGAATACCAAAATGCCCTCCTCCTTCATTATTATCCAGGAAGCACTGCTTGATTCTTCTTCATAGCATTTATTCCTCCCTGACATTGTACAGCTATATGGTTCACTCCTGTATCTCCAGAGCTTGGTGTGAGTCTGATGCTCACTACACAGTAAGTGTTACAATTAGAATCAAGGTGATAACAGGCATCAGTGTACTCTTTGGAGGCCAAAGATACATGGGTGGGGTAGGCAGGTGGAGTGAGAGGTCGTAGAGATAAGAAGTTGGGATGTGATGGATGGGAGGGGTGGAGAGTAGAGCAGCAGTGTGAGTCCAGGTGACTGTCCTCCAGAAGCTTCCCATCTTATTCTACTTGTTGGTTCATTCTACACAGCTTTCCAACAAAGCCTACCACATCACAGATAATCTTGAGTAAGATATGCTGCTTGTTGGGTGCATGAAAACTTCTATTAGTGGGAGGCAAAGTCCCACTCTTGTTGTCAAGGGAATTTGAAGGACTCTATGGTGAGGAGCACTAACAGTTTTTAGAACATTTTAGGTATGTGTTGTCCAATATGGCACCACTAGTCACATGCAGCCATTGTTTGAAATGTGATAGTTTGAATCTGAGATGTGCTTAAGTATAAAAACATATCAGATTTTGAAGACTTAGTACAAAAGAAGAATGTAAAACATTTCAATTGCTAAATATTGATTACATGTTGAAATAATGTTTTGAATATATTGGGTTAAATAAAATATATTATTACAATTAATGTTACCTGCTTCTTTTTGTTTTTTAAAATGTGACTGCTAGAAAATTTTAAATTACACATGTGGCTCACATGCATGGCTCACATTGTATTTTTATTAGTCCCATGTTTTCCCTATAAAGCCCATAGGAATAATGCCTGGAACGCACAATGCTCTCAATACTGGCTAAATGCATTAAGTTGGGGTACCTGACAAGGGTCTTTAGACCAAGAATTGGCAAACTCCATTTCTCTAAGCAAAGTGTTCATTTAATCAAAAACCTGAATATCTACATAGGCCTTAGCACTGGGGAAAGTGGCAGAAATGTGTGAAGAAGTTGATTTGTTTGAGGCTGCTGTTGGTTCCCAGCTGTATTTACACTTTGCTTCAGTGAATAAACACCACTTCATTTGGGATAGCCCAAATGTTTATTTCTTTGAAAACACCATTTCCAAAGTGTAAGTACTTGTTTCACAGTCTGTTTTAGGGAGGCAGAGCCACATGATTCTTCGAATATAATACTACTACTGCACACACAACTTGGAACTTTGGAATTGGACCAATTCATTAGCTTCTGAGTTGTTGACTCCTACTTAGAAGCTGCTTCCCAGGTATATTTTGTTTCAATTTAGTAAGTGAGGATGGCAAAAGAGTTAAAAGGCTTAATAAACTGTATAATAGGCTCTCGTTCTTTAAAATGGTTCTTAAGAAAATTGCCTTATTCTCTGATTTTCTGTAGCAAGCAAGTTACTCCCTCCCTTTTCCCACAAAATGGTACCTGGCATAAAGTCATTAGCAATTCTGACATGCCAGGCCATTTCAATGGTTTTTTTTTTTTTGAGACAGAGTCTCATTCTGTCACCCAGGCTAGAGTGCTATGGCGTCAGCCTAGCTCACAACAACCTCAAACTCCTGGGCTCAAGTGATCCTCCTACCTCAGCCTCCCAAGTAGCTGGGACTACAGGCATGCACCACCATGCCCAGCTAATTTTTTCTATATATTTTTAGCTGGCCAATTAATTTCTTTCTATTTTTAGTAGAGATGGGGTCTCCCTCTTGCTCAGGCTGGTATTGAACTCCTGACCTTGAGCCATCCTCCCGCCTTGCCTTCCCAGAGTGCTAGGATTACAGGCATGAGCCACCATGCTTGGCTCATTTCAGTGGTTCTGAAGCCACTTGTAAGCAATTCCTGGGGCAGTTAAAAAAAGTTTAAATTCAAATAGATAGCTTGGAAAAAAAAAGGAAGAAAAGCATAATATAACTACTTGCAGAAGAGTATTTAAGGGGTTTTGATTTCCAGATATATGATAACTTTTAAGAGAAAACACTGAATTATTTAGTAAGGAGCATCCCTAAAAACATGCACTGTGATATGTTCTCATTCCTTTATGACCCAGATATGCAGAGTCTATCTCAATTTTCCTTGAAGAGGTACTGGGGAGGTACAGTTCACTGAGCTGCACTGTAGCTTGATAGGTTAGTGCTGGTGGAGATGGAATAAATAGTACTTTGTCCACACAATGGGATTAATATGGAACATGGTCAATAGTTCTTCCCAGTCATAATATTTAGATCTTCCAGGTTAATAAAAACTATTTTAAAACTACAGAATAAACTCCCTAAGATCAGCCACAGAAAAGATTTCTATGGTTTAGAGAAAAATTAGGAAAGAAAGGTAATGGTTTTTGGTGGTACTTTAATGGTTTGTAAGAAAGGGTATTTAAACCCCTTATAATAAGAAAACAGGAAATCTCTTGGAAAACAGAGATGTGAAGGCAAAGGAAAGATTTTGCAGTCTGGAGACTTTTTGATTTGCTGTTAATTAATGTCATATACCCAACAGGCACAATGAGAAGTGATATTCTTGATGGATCTTTTAGATTTTAAATCTCAGACATGATGTACATATGAAATCCTAAAATTTCTGAAGTTTTTTCCTTTTAAAATTCAACACCAAAACCAAGAAGCAGCTTAAACAGGATTTCAAGAAGCAAGGGTACCCTCTCAGTGGATAGTAAATCCCATCTTAGGTCCTAGGTGGCTGCTAGTATAGATAAGATAGAGTTGGGATAAAATTCTTTATTAAGAACATGCTTTCATACCTTAGGTATTTCATACCTTAGGTTTAAGTAAAAAAAAGAAAAAAAAAAAAGAACATGCAATTCTAGTGTATTGCTTATTACTTTAACTCACTCATCACACTTACTTATTAAGAGGGTCATCTCAGCAACCAATATATGAAAGGACACAAGACTTAGTGATGTAAAGCCTATGTTACTTGTCACCACTCCTGGAAAAAAAGAGCATCTTACCTGCAGCAAAGGCATCAGTTGCAAACCCAGTGCTTGTTCATAGAGCAAGTTCAATTCTGCACAACTGGAGAAGGAGAGTTTGGAGGTGTAGAGATAATAGTGCACATGCCTAAATGTAGAACCATCTCTGTCAATGAATAGCCTTTGGCTTTCTGAAGTGGTTAAGGCTGAAGCCTCTTTCCAAAGCAGGGAGTCTGGGAACTGGGCAAGTTTGCTTCTGGGAACTGAGAAATGCCAGCCTCCAACGTTGAAATGAAACAAATCCTCTGCTGATTCATGAGGCATGCCAGACTCCTCCTAAAGGGAAAATGAAAAGAGAGCTATGGAAGAAAAATATATATAAAGATCCAGATTGGAAAGGAAGAAATAAAACTATATTTGTTGATAACATGATCTTCTATATAGAAAATCCTAAGGAATTCACTAAAAAACTATTAGAAATGAGTCCAAGAAGGTTGAAGGATGCACAGCAATATTTAAAAAGCAATTGATCAGCTGTATTTTTATATATTAGCAATGAACGATCCAAAAATAAAATTAAGAAAATAATTCCAAGCAAGACCCCATCTCTATAAAATACGAAAAAAAACAAAAAGAAAAAGAAAAATAGCCAAGTGTGGTGGTTCACGCCTATATTTCCAGGTACTTGGGAGGCTGAGGTGGGAGGACTGCTTGAGACTAGGAGTTTGTGATCAGCCTGGGTGATTTTAGTGAAATGTCACTTCCTACCTGTCTCTAAAAAAAAAAAAAAAAGAAAAAGAAAAAGAAAAAATTTCATTTACAATAGTATTGAAAAGACAAAATATTTAGGAATAAATTTAACAAAAGAAGTATAATATTTGTACTCTGAAAACTTTAAAACATTGTTGAAAGAAATTTAAAAAGACTTAATTAAATGGAAAGATATCTGATGCTCATGGATTAAAAGATTTAGTTTCAAGATGACAATCCTCCCCCAGTTGATCTACAGATTCAAAACAATCCCTATGAAAATCCCACCTGACTTTTTTGAAAAAATTGACAAGCTGATGCTAAAATTCATATAGAAATACAACAGACCAACAGTAGTCAAAACAATCTTGAAAAAGGAGAACAAAGTTTGAGGATTCACATTTCCCACTTCAAAAACTTACTACAGGCCGGGCGCGGTGGCTCAAGCCTGTAATCCTAGCACTCTGGGAGGCCGAGGCGGGCGGATTGCTCGAGGTCGGGAGTTCGAAACCAAGGCCTGGAGCGAGGACCCCGCTTCTTACTAAAATAGAAGAAATTAATTGGACCAACTAAAAATATATATAGAAAAAATTAGCCGGGCATGGTGGTTGCATGCCTGTAGTCCCAGCTACTTGGGAGGCTGAGGCAGAGGATCGCTGAAGCCCAGGAGATTGAGGTTGCTGTGAGCTAGACTGACGCCACGGCACTCACTCTAGCCAGGGCAACAAAGCAAGACTCTGTCTCAAAAACAAACAAACAAACAAAAAAAACTTACTACAAAGCTAGAGTAATCGAGACAGTGGCATAAGGAGTACATCAAGAAAAGTGGAATAAATTAGAGTCCAGAAAATAAACCTTACATTGAGGACACATGAATTTCCAACAAGGGATCCAAGACAATTCAATGGATAAAGAATACTTTACATGGGGCGGACAGTGGGGTTGCCAGTGGGGGTGTGATGGCGCTAGCGAGCGGCGGGGGGGGGGCGCGGGGGGAGGGCAGGTTGCTAGGAAGATGTGTGGAAGACCAGCGGAGCCGAACGAAGGCGAGTGTAAAGAGATGAGAGAGGAGGTTATGCGCAACTCCTATGAACTACCTATAAGGCCTTTATAGAGGGGAATTTGCAAAAGCTCTCAAAAAATTTCACTGCCGTGATGGCATCACATTCCTTCCAGCAGCAACGGTGGGTACAAATGAGCACTTTGTAAGGCCCAGGGCATCTCTGAAGAACTCTGTCTAGTATGGGGACTGAGCGCACGCATGTAAATCTCGTTTCGCAAAACGCACGGACTATTTAGACAGAGTGTGCATTGTGTCAAGCCTATCTTTGGCAACCGAGAGCTAGCAACACACTCATCAACGCACACCACGCCTCTTATGGCACTGTCGGCTATGATGCTATCTGCAGAAGTTGGATGTAGTTATTTCTTGCTCATCACATACTAAAAATCTAGGCCAACAAAAAAGAACAGATCAAAATTAATGAGTGACATCTAGACGACAAATAAGGACATCTGAAAATTAATATTCAATTCTTGTATACCTTAAAGAGAAATCCTCTCTCACAATAACTTTCAGCTCATAACAATCATGTAAGAAGTAAAATTTCCTAGAGTAAAATTTATTTCAGCGAGAATGAACACGTGGACTTGGAAAGCATGTACACCTACGAAATCACCGGCTGTGCACCTACCGTAGGCATAACCAACGTCAGTAAAGCACAGGGCATTGAACTCCAAGTGGATCATAAACTACAGTATAGGAAGAGCAACCAGGATCGATAGAGATGCTAGTTAACTTTCAATTATAATCGTACAACAAACCTTTTAATAGATGAGATCCTACAGGCAAGATGATTATCTGAATGTGCTGTGCAGAAATCTTCATGCTTGGAGTAGGTGAACACTCTTAGAATGACACTAAAAAGTGACCCCCCAAAATACATAAACAGAACTCATCAAAAATTTAAAACCTTTAGCTAGTGGCCCCCAAGCTCATGGCCTAAATAGTCATGAGGGCAAAAACACTCAAAGTCTTGGGGTTGCAGAAGCTTATATCCTATAGGGACACTGGCAGACTAAAAATAAATAAAGCAGGTGATGGGCGCTGGGGAGCTATTCCAGTGATTCTCACAGCAACCAAATGGCTTCCTATGAGTAGAGGACTTGCATTTAGAAGTCAGAGCAAAGATTGGGCTGAGAGAGTTCAGAAAATAGCCTGTTGAGGCCCTGAGCCTTAGCTGCGAAGCGGATAATCGTTGGGACTGTCATCACACTGCATGAAGCGGAGTTCAAGATCACTGACCACTGAATGGCGCGGAAGTGCTTCTTTGTGGATTTGTCTGGTTTATTAGTATGTTTTCTTTAATAAAGATTGCAACACTTACGCATTCTGGGGAAATGGTTGCGACTCACAAATTTACACCTGTTGAGTGGAAACAGCAGGATAATAGTATCGCATTCTATCTACTTCCAAATAGATGATCTCCCCTCAACTAAACATATTCCTCTAAGACATAGGAGGTTGTCCTTAATTGACCCAAAGATAACAGAAGACTGAGATACCCAGGCCAGAAGTGTGCTGCCACATGCCTCATCAGCCTGTAAGTCCCAGCACACTCATATATAGCTGAGTCCTGGTCGGTCGGTGGGGGCAGAGTTATTTCTTGCTCATCGCAAGCCCCCTCTCCAATAGTGCCCGACAATGTTGATAGGATTGGTTCCAAGAGGTGACCCCGCCTCTAGCTGAAGCTTAGAATCACAAGCTTTTGGAGGAGTGCATCTCACAGGTGGACAAGTACCTCGTGCAGGTCAAGGACCTTCGGCAACAAAGAATAAGGAGACGTCGCGTCAGCTTAAGCATGGGTTTGGGAATGATTGCCTTCCAGATTCTCCCTAGTTTGCTCAATTACTCTTTTTTCTTGCATAACATACAACCCATCATCTCTCCCAATGTTAATCACCAATCAGACCAAAAGGCTGAGCCTTCTTCTTCCTCCATCTCTCACCTATCCTCCTCCAATCAATACCACCATGTCCTCTACCCCGCTTAGTCTTTTACTCGGTCTTCCAAGGTCCCAAGTCTATGGACTCGTGTCATTCACTGCACCTCCTGAAACTTCTTAAGGGCTCTGCCAAGTTTGCATCCTGAACTCTGATCTTTTCTAGGGTTTTGGCTAACAAGCATCTATCTCGCGCGAGTCATTCCATGATGTGCGATCCACTTACTCCTCAGCTCCTTTTGGACTCTCCTCATGTCTCTACTTTGCTGTATTCTTCAGAGAACACAGCTCCTTGAATGCCCTCCATATATAACGCTTACTAACAACTAAGGTTCCTTCGAACAGAGAAATGTCGAAGCAGCCCAGAGCCTTCTCCTATTTGAGCATCATATCATTGGTCATCTGTTGGAAAGATACCCAGGAACTCCAACGCACATTATGCAAACCCTATATTCCTAGACAGACGGGATAGCTTCCGCGGTGATAAGAAAAAAAAGGAAAAAGTTAAGGAATGTGATAGAATGTAACAATGATTCCAAATTAACTGAACTGGAGGTGGAGAGCATCCGGAAGTTCTGAGCAAGATAGAAGAAATGAAAAAAGAGTATATGAGCCAGGTGTGGTCGGCTCACACCTGTAATCCTAGCACTCTGGGAGGCCGAGGTGGCGGATGGCTCAAGGTCAGGATTCGAGACCGCCTGAGCAAGAGGGAGACCCTGTCTCTACTAAAAATAGAAAGACATTAATTGGCCAACTAACAAATATATAGAAAAAATTAGCTGGGCATGGTGGTGCATGCCTGTAGTCCCAGCTACTTGGGAGGCTAAGGCAGAAGGATCGCTTGAGCCCAGGAGTTTGAGGTTGCTGTGAGCTGGGCTGATGCCATGGCACTCTAGCCTAGGCAACACAGTGAGACTCTGTCTCAAAAAAAAAAAAAAAAGAAAAGAAAGAAAAAGAATATATAAAGAACTCTTGCAACTCAATAATAAAAAGACAACCAAATTTTCTTTTTTTCCCCCTTTCCTTCCCTTCCCTTCTCTCCTCTCCCCTCCCCTCCTCTTTCCTTCCCTCCCCTCCCCTTCCCTTCCCTTCCCGTCCCCATCCCTTCTCTTTTCTTTTCTTTGGAGACAAGGTTTGCCCTGACTGGCCTCAAACTCCTGGGTTCAAGCAATACTCCTGCCTCAGCCTCTCAATCAGCTGGACTATAAGGGCCCACCACTGTACAATTAAATTGTAAAATAGACAAAGCATCTAAATAGGCATTTTTCCAAGGAATATATACAAATGACCAACAACACATAAAAAGATGCTCAACATCATTAGCTGTTAAAGAAATGCAAACCAAAAGTTACAATGAAATACCACTTCATACCCACTATTATGGCTAGAATCAAGACGATAGATTATAACAATTGTTATAGAAAAAAAATGGTAGAATGTAGGTGGTGGGTATATGGTGCTCACTGTACAATTCTTTTAACCTCCTTTCTAAATGTTTAAAAATTTCCATAAAATGTTGAGGGTGGGGAAGAGTGTTAAAGTAAAAGGTGGTTGCTCAAGAGAGGAAAAACCCCCTTCTCCAACAAAAACCCTTATCTTCCATTTTGACAGCTAAAGAAGGAAAATAAATGCATCTCCTATAGTAAGCTTGTCTAAATAATTCGGATATAAAGAAAAGCAATTACATATACCACATTTGAGACTAGAAGAGTTAAAGGGAGAACGAAGAGAAAGATTACAAATTGTAAAATAGTTTCATGAATGAGTGAAGCAGAGGTGGAAAAGCCAGCTAATGAGCTAATTTAGGATTTTAATTCCTGCCCCCCCCTTTTTTGTGTGACAGTCTTACTCTGTTGCCCCGGCTAGAGTGCCGTGGCTTCAGCCTAGCTCACAGCAACCTCAAACTCCTGGGCTCAAGCAGTCCTCCTGCCTCAGCCTCCCCAGTAGCTGGGATTACAGGCATGTGCCACCATGCTCGGCTAATTTTTTCTATATATTTTGGTTGTCCAGCTAATTTATTTCTATTATTAGGAGAGATGGGGGGAGGTTTCACTCAAATGATCTGCCTACCTCAGCCTCCAGAGTGCTAGGATTACAGGTGTGAGCCACCGTGCTTGGCCCCCCTGGCCCTTCTAAATGTGGTGAAGGCTGACCATCACAAACTATGAGTAACTAAGGGCCCACCAAGACCAGAAAGCATAAATACATACAATGACTCTTGATTTTGCTTTCTGTTCTCCTTAAAAGTGACTTGGTGGTTGAAAGCTCGGTGGAGGTGCTCAGAGTGTGCAGATTTTGGTTGCCTAAGAAAACATGCTTCTTGAAGGTGAGCCCCAGCTCTGGTCTCAGTTCTTGTTTTCTTATTATGGGGAGAGCCTTGGCTCAAGAGTGGGCTCTCAAGATGTGCCTGCGGGGGTGAGGGTAGGGGCTAAGGATGCGGCTGTTCTTTCCCAGGGATTTTTCTTCCCAAAGGCTGCTCAGGGGCTGGTAGTGCAGAACTATCCCAGCCTGGGGACAGCCCTCAGGCAAGCTTGAGGGGCCTGTGGTACTTGAAAGACAAAAGGCTTCTTGTCAGGCTGACTGCAGAAAGTGGGGTAGTCCTATTATAGTGGTGCCCACTTCATCCCAAAGAGCATCTCTCTTTTCCACACTGATCCCTCTCCCTCAAAGGGGCTCCTTCCTCCATATCTAGAGCCAGAACTATCTCAAGATCTAAAGACAGGACCTCAACTTCTCAAAGCCATGATTTCAACCTTTCAGATCTGGAGCTTCCCACACGCCTCAGAAATCTGCCCCAGCCCGCAATCCTGTAGTCCCCCCTTCACACACATCCTCGCCTTGCCCAAGTCAGCAACCCCTGCGCTGAGATATGAAGACTTTTGCCCATCAAACGGGCACATCCCTGCTCCTCAGACCTGGAGTCCCCCAGATCCTCAGGGCTGGAACCCTTCATCCCTCAAGGCATTGCATTCTTCCAGCTCCTCAGAGCTAGCCTCCCAAATCCTTCAAAGCTGGGCTCCCTCTGCGGCCCCCATGCTCCAGAGACAGGTCCCCAACCCTGTAGCCCTAATCCTGGGCCACAACGCGCCCCTTTCTCCTCTTCAGTGTTTTTGGCGTTCCTGTCAGGGCGGGATTCATACCATGGTCGCGGCTCGGGCGGCGGGCAGGAGGCGCGTGACCCGGCCAATAACGGTCCCCGAGGGCGCGATGGCGCGTGGGCCGGGGGCGGGGCCTGGTGGCCTGGGGAGGGGCCTGGTGGGCAGGGCAGCCGCGCGGGCTGCGGCAGGTGAGCGGCGGGCGGGGATGGCGGAGCAGTGGGATCTGGACGAGGAAGGCATCCGCCGCCTGGGGGCGCTGAGCCTCGAGCAGCCGGGTAGGGTCAGGCCGGAGGGCCGGGGCGGGGAACGTAGGTACAGTCAGAGGCTGAGGGGATAAAACTGAGGTGGAGGCGGGAGAACCGCGGAGGAGCGGTACCTGAGGCTGAGGAGAGGTACATTGGGGCAGAAGGGTTACGCTGAGGTGGAGGTGGAAGAACCGAAGTAACAGGGGAGTCTCGAGCATAGGGGTGAGGAACTGAGGGAGAGGAGGGGAGTGTGAAGTAGAGGGGAAACAGGACGAACAGGGGACCCTGAGGTAGGTGACAGAACTGGACGAAGTCTGAACTAATGGAAGGAAACAGCCTCAAGGGGGCATCCGAGGGAGAAGGAAACGCTGTGAAGGGCGGTAGTGATAAGAGGTGCAGTTGAGGAGGCACGAAGGGCGTTACTTTGGGCAGTTTCTGAAACTTCCTACCCAGGAGGGCTTTTCCTTTTTCCTAGTTGAGGTGAAATGGGAAAGGAGGCTCCTTTGTCAGTTCCATCCATCGTCCGGTCTCCACTTCAAGAACTAGACCATTTCTTTGATCCATCTGGTTGTGCAGCTTCCTTTAGAGACTTAGAAAGTGCCTGATATGAAAGGGATAGCAGCCGATCTCTCAAGCCGCTTAGTCAGTGCCCCAGCCCCGGGGCAGGTGACTGCGGACCCTTCCTTGGACCCGGAGTCTGACCCACGTATCTTGCTTGCTGAGTGTCTGAGGAGTAAAAAAGTTGGAAAAGTTACCCGCATTCCTAATTCAACTTTCACCCTCCCTAAATTTACTATATATCATTATTGCCAGGCCCTGTGATAAGTGCTTTACCTGCATTATTTAATCCCCATAACAAGCCTATCGGGCACATGCTGTTATTGTTCCCGTTTTACAGATTAGTAAATTTAGGTTTAGACTCTTGCCTAAAGTTACACAGCTAGTGAAGTGATGCGCCTGGGTTTATTAATCCAGGGCTCTGATTCCAGAGCCTATGCTGTAACCATAGCAAAAAGCTGCCTTTCTTGCTTCCTTTACTTTTCATTTGCGAAATAACTTGCTTTTATTTTATTTGTAATTTTATTTAAAAATTATTTGTCAAAATAATTATCCAAATTAGTTCATGCTAACAACAGTAAACATTACATGGGTGAATAAAGAGGGTACTAATCTTTCCTTCCTCTTGTTTCGAGCTCCTGACCTCGAGCAATCCGCCCACCTCTGCCTCCCAGAGTGGTAGGATTACAGGCGTGAGCCACCGCCTCGGCCTTTCCTTCCTCTTGGAAACTCATTTCCCTCTCCCCTTAGCCCAAGGCAACCACTAATCTATTTTCTGTCTCTATGGATTTGCCTCTTCTGTATATTTCATATAAATGGAATCAGGTAACATGTGGGCTTTTCTCTCTGGCATCTTTGATTTACCATGTTATTTTCAAGTTTCATCCATGCTTTAGCATGTATCAATACTTCATTCCTTTTTTTTAATATTAATAGACTTTATCTTTTAGAGCAGTTTTAGTTTTACAAAGAAATTGAGCATAAAGTACAGAGAGTTACCATATACTCTTCTCCTCCTTGCACCTCTCCCATACCCCACCAGCTTCCCTTATTATTGATATTTTGCATTATTGTGGTACATTTGTTACAATTGATGAACCAATATTGCTACATTATTATTAACTAAAGTCTGTTGTCAAACTAGGACTCATTCTTTTTTACATTTTTAAAATTTTTAATCTTTTTTGTACAGACAGGGTCTCACTATGTTGCCCTGACTGTTCTCAAACTCCTGGCCTCAAGTGATCCTCCCACCTTGGCCTCCCAAAGTGCTGGGCTTACAGGCTTGAGCCACCACACTGGGCCAGGGCTTACTCTTCGTGTTGTACAGTTCTATGGGTTTTGACAAATATATAATATCATGTGTCCACCATTACAATAGCAAACAGAATAGTTTCACTGCCCCCCAAATTCCCTGTGCCCCATCTATTTAGCCTTCTCTCACCCCCAAATCAGATATCCATTTGTTGATATCTGACAGCCACTGATCTTTTTACTATTGCCTTTTTCAGAATGACATATAGTTGGAATCATATAGTATGTAACTTTTTCAGACTGACTGCTTTCACTTAGCAATATAGTATGTGTTTAAGGCTCCTTCGTTTCTTATCATGGCTCGATAGCTTTCTTTTTCTTTTCTATCTTTCTTTTTTTTTTCTCCCTCTGTTGCCTGGGCCAGAGTGCAGTGACATCATCACAGCTCACTGCAACCTCAAACTCCTAGGCTCAAGCAATTCTCCTGCCTCAGCCACCCAAGTAGCTAGGACTACAGGTGTGCACCACTACACTTGGCTAATTTTTCTATTTTTTGTAGAGATGGGGTCTCACTCTTGCTCAGGATGGTCTCAAATTCCCAGCCTCAAGCAATCTTCCCACCTTGGCTTCCCAGAGTGCTAGGATTACAGGAACTACCACACCTGGCCTAGCTAATTTCTTTTTATTGCTGAATAATATTCTACTCTATGGATATGCCATAGTTTGTTTATCCATTTACCTATTGAAGAACATTATGGTTGCTTCCATGTTTTAGCAGTAATGAATAAAGTCACTGTAAACATCTATGTGCAGGTTTTTGTGTGGACAAAAAGTTTCAACTCACCTGAGTAAATACCAAGGGATTTACTATATCATATGGTAAGATTGTGTTTAGCTTTGTAAAAAACTGCCAAGTTTTTTACACCATTTTGCATTCCCACCAGCAATGAATGAGAGTTCATGTTGTCCCACATCCTCACCAACATTTAGCATTGTCAAAGTTTTGGATTTGGCCATTCTAATAAATGTGTAGTGGTATTTCCTTGCTTTAATTTTTAATTTCCTGATTATGTTGAGCATTTTTGTCATATATTTGTTTGCCATCTGTATAGCTTCTTTGGTGAAGTTGTCTGTTCAGGTCTTTGCCCATTATTTAATTGGGTTGTTACTTTTCTTATTGTTTAGTTTTCAGAGTTCTTTGTATGTCTTAGATACCAGTCCTTTATCAGATAATGTATTTTGCAAATATTTTCTCCAGTCTGTGGTTTGTCGTTTCATTTTCCTGACCGTGTCTTTTACAGAACAGAACCTTTAAACTTTTTTTAAATTTTATTTATTTATTTTATTTTAGTGTATTATAGGGGTACAAGTGTTAATGTTACATATATTGCCCATGGTCCCCCTCCTTCTCGAGTAAGAGCTTCAAGAGTGTCCATCCCCCAAACGTTGCACATCTTACTCATTGTGGTTGTATATACCCATCCCCATCTCCCCCCTCCCACCCTCCCGACACCTGGTAAATGTTATTCCTATATGTCCACTTAGGTGTTAATCTGTTAATACCAATTTGCTGGTGAGTACATGTGGTGCTTGTTTTTCCATTCTTGAGATACTTCACTTAGTAGAATGGAGAACCTTTAAACTTTAATGAAGTCCTACTTGTCAAGTTTTTCTTTCACAGATCATACTTTTGGTGTTGTATTAAAAATTCATTGCTAAAGCCAAGGTCACCTAGATTTTCTCCTGTGTTATCTTCCAGAAGTTTTAATTTTGTGTTTTACATTTAGGTCTGTGATCTATTTTGAGGTAATTTTTGTAAAAGCTTTAAGGGCTATCTCTAAGCCCGTGGGTTTTTTATTTGTTTGTTTGGTTTGTTTGGTTGGTGTTTTTTTTGTTTTTGTTTTTGTTTGCATGTAGCTGTCAAGTTGTTGAAAGATTATTTTTTTCCATCGAATTACCTTTGTTCCTTTGACTATATTTGTGAGTCTATTTCTGGGCTCTCAATTCTGTTCCATTAATCTTTTTATCTTTTTTCCTCATGATACCACACTGTCTTGATTACTATAGCTTTGTAGTATAATTTGAAGTTGGGTAGTATAAGTTCTTTGACTTTGCTTTTCTTCTTTAATGTTGTGTTGGCTATTCTGGGTCTTTTGCCTTTCCATATACAGTTTAGAATCAATTTGTTATTATCTATGAAATAACTTGCTGAAACATCTTTTCTTTTTATGGCTAAGTAATATTCTATCTTATTGATATACCACATTCTGTTTATATATTCTATATAATATGATATGTTCATCTGTTGATGGACATTTGGGTTGTTTCCATCTTTGGGATATTGTGAATAATGCTGCTATGAACAACTGTGTATGAGTTTTTGTTTGAGCACTTGTTTTCCATTTCTTTTGGCTACATGCCTCAGAGTAAATTGCTGTGTCATAGGGTAATTCTATATTTAACTTATTGAGAAACTGCCAAACTGTTTTCTGTAATGGCTATACTACTTTATATTCCCTCCAGTGATGTATGAGTATTCTAATTTCTCTACATCTTCACCAATACTAACAATTTTCCATTGTTTTAAAATTATTATTACTATTTTATTTATTTATTTATTTTTCGACAGAGTCTCACTCTGTTGCCCGGGCTAGAGTGCCATGGCATCAGCCCAGCTCACAGCAACCTCAAACTCCTGGGCTCAAGTGATGCTTCTGCTTCAGCCTCCCGAATAGCTGGGATTACAGGCGTGTGCCACCAAGCCCGGCTAATTTTTTCCTTATATTTTTAGTTGGCCAATTAATGTCTTTCTATTTTTAGTAGAGACGGGGGTCTTGCTCTTGCTCAGGCTGGTTTCGAACTCCTGACCTTGAGCGATCTGCCCTCCTTGGCCTCCCAGAGTGCTAGGATTACAGGCATGAGCCACTGCGCCTGGCCTAAAATTATTATTATTATTATTATTATAGCCATCCTAGTGGGTGTGAAGTGGTATGTTATTGTGGTTTTGATTTGCATTTCCCTAACAACTAATAATGTTGAACATTTTGTCCTAGGCTTTTTGGCCATTTGTATATCTTCTTTGGGGAAATGTCTATTCAAATCTTTTCAGTGCTGTTAGTTTAGTTGACTTTCCTCTACTTCTTTCCTTATATGTACATACATGCACACACATTCCTTAAAATGTAGTTACACATACAAAAAGAATCATATTTTTCCCTCACTTAATGTCTTGAAGATCTTTCCATATGAGCCTCTACAATTCTACTTTATTCCTTTTAACAACTGTATAATAATAATTAACACTTCTATGGCACTTACCATGTGCCAGACACTGTTCTAAATTTTGTATATATGTTAATTCCATCCTCACAACATCTTATGAGTTAAGTACTATTGTTATCCCCATTTTATAGATAAGGAAACTTAATGCACAGAGAGGTTAAGTGACTTATATGAGGGAACAGATCTAGTACATTGTTCTTTGTATCAATGTACTATTATTTAGGCTGTCTAGTTCTACTTTTCTACTGATGAACCTTTAACAGTTTTCTTTTTCTTTATTTAAAAATGTGGGGGTTTTTTTGTATTTTACTTTGCAGCTTCAGCTCAAGAGATAGATTTTTTAAAAATATTTTAAAGCCTTTCTGAAATTGACATCCTTGTGCTATATATCTTAGCAAAATTTTGTGAGTATTATCTATAGGGCTAAATTCTAGAAGCAGGGTTGCTGAATGTCTTTCTTTTCTTTTTTTTTTTAAGACAGGATCTTGCTATGTTGCCCAGGCTGGTCTTGAACTCCTGACCTCAAGTGATCCTCCCTCCTCAGCCTCCCAAACTTTTGGGATTACAGGCATGAGCCACCACACACAGCCTAAATTTCTTTTTAAATTTTGTTTTGAGAACTTTTGGAGGCTGGGCATGGTGGGTCATGCCTGTAATCCTAGCACTCTGGGAGGCCGAGGCAGGCGGATTGCTCAAGGTCAAGAGTTCAAAACCAGCCTGACCAAGAGCGAGACTCCATCTCTACTATAAATAGAAAGAAATTAATTGGCCAACTAAAAATATATAGAGAAAAAATTAGCCAGGCATGGTGGCCCAAGCCTGTAGTCCCAGCTACTTGGAAGGCTGAGGCAAAAGGACTGCTTGAGCCCAGGAGTTTGAGGTTGCTGTGAGCTAGGCTGACGCCATGGCACTCTAGCCTGGGCAACACAGTGAGAGTCTGTCTCCAAAAAAAAAAGAACTTTTGGAGGCTTTTACTACATCATTCAGGGTAATTAGAAAAACCCAAGAACTCTATAAAACTAAGGTTTGATGTTACTGTCTTAGGACATAATGCTGCTTCAAAAAAGAGAATCTCTGGCCGGGCGCTGTGGCTCACGCCTGTAATCCTAGCTCTTGGGAGGCCGAGGCGGGCGGATTGCTCAAGGTCAGGAGTTCAAAAAAGAGAATCTCATCTTATGATAAAAAAGGGAATCTCATCTTAAAAAAGGGAATCTCATCTCATCTTGGATATAAGGCCTTTCACAGTTGGGATATGGGAGGAAGTAAGGCCTACTTTCACTGACTCTGCTGTTTATCCAAGCAGAGATCATAATATAACTACTGATGATCTCTTTTCAGAACTGGTGGAGTCTCTTTCATTGCAGGGATCATATGCTGGAAAAATCCATTCCATTGGTGATGCTTTCAGAAATTTTAAAAATCTCCGATCCTTAGATTTATCGAGGAATTTGATCACTAGCCTAAAGGTAAGTTCTATATTCTATGATCAGCCAGGTCAGCCCAATTTTTTTTTTTCATGGGAAGAAATAAGAGATAGATAATGTCAGCCTATGGAATATAGAGTTTTCCTTTAAAATGCTTCCCAACTAAATTTTATTATTCACTATAAAATTCTTTCAACTCTGTTCTATGTTTAAAATTATTTATTACAAAATATTGGGGGAAAATTCCTTTTATAATCATAGAAAATCGTATTAAGCTATCACTGCCTTAAGCAATAATATACATTTTAATGTGTAAAAAAATGTTATGAGGAGCACTTGTAAAAGTACAGATTCTTAGTCCCTACCCTTAGAGTAGATCTGATTTAGTAGGTCTGGGGTGGATTCGTGACATACCCAGAGGATTCTGATGATGGTGGTAATTGGAACATACATGGAGAAACACTGGCCTGTGTTGTTACAGCAGATTTTTTTCTAAGAGGAGGAGGAGGAAAGGGAGCTCTTGGTATAAAAGAACAATTTCCAGGTCAGGGGGTGGTAGAGCGGAGGGCAGAACAAGAAAACAGGAGGGAGCAGGCATGAGCTGAGTGCATGGGGATTAGCAAACGCAAACAAAGAGCTCTGCAAAAATAAGTGGGCACACACAGAGATGGAAGTTTTGTTTTCTTTGTGGTAGACCCCCAAATGGTGTTTCTTCCACATGTTCCCATTTTGCCCCAGCTATGCACCCGCCTTGGCAAAGCCTTCTATGCAAGACTGAAGGTGACAAAGACTTACAGATGCCATCCAGGATTAGTTAACAAGCTCCTGGATTATTCTGCCAATTTTGTACTTCTTAGGAGATACTTGTTCAACAACACCATCCAGACCCAATCTCGAGGTTTAACTAAGGGCCCTAAAAGAGGAAGCCCACGCAAGATCAAATTTCCAACTAGGACTCTAAAACCAGCAACTCCAGGTTGACCTATGTCTTTAGACTATTTTTTAGCAGCCATTTATATTTGGCCCATCAGTTTCAGAAAGTACTAGTTCAGAGTTACTTAGGCCTCCTCTTTTCATATGTATATTTGTTTGTTTTCAGGCTAAAAAATTAAGTGAACATTGTTGTAATTTGTTTTTATACTTCCTTTCTTTCAAATTCTGTAAATTGGGCAAAAAACTATTGTGATGAAGATTAATCAAATTAACATATGTAATAAAAATAACATGTATGACTCCTGTTAGTGTTTGGCACATAGGAAGCACTTGGTAAATGTTAGTTTTCTATATATATTTTGTATGTATGGTTTATCTGCATATATTCATCTTTGTGAGCTCTGAATCACTTTGCTTAATTCTTCCTTGGAGGAAAATGTTTTGTGATTATTTCTAGTGTGAATTTGGGGAATACATGAATTCATGCCAACTGGGAAAAGTAAGAGAGGATAGAAACTGTTTCCTTGACTTTTACACTGAGAAACATTGAAAGATTACTTGAGCTGGGCATTAGATACATTAAAGAATATGCTGAGAATGGGTGTACTGTCCTAAGAATGGGGCCAAAGCACACATAACTATTCCTAACCACTGACTCATTAACAATACAGACTTTGGCCAGGTATAGTGCTAACACCTGTAATCCCACCACTTTGGGAGGCCCAAGCAAGAGGATCACTTGAGGCCAGGAGTTCGAGACCAGCCTAGGCAACATAGTGAGATCCCATCTCTATAAAACATAAAAAAATTAGCGTGTGGTATGGTGATGTGCATCTGTAGTTCCAGTTACTTAGGAGGCTGAGACAGGAGAATTGCTCAAGCCCAAAGTTGGAGGCTACAGTGAGCTATGATGATGCTACTGCACGCTAACCTGGGCAACAGAGTGAGACCTGTTTCAAAAAAAAAGTATGTGATTGCATATAGATGTATATGTTTTTAAATTGTCCTGAAAAAAAAATTTTTTTTGAGACAGAGTCTCGCTGCGTGACAACCCAGGCTAGAGTGCTGTGGCATCAGCCTAGCTCACAGCAACCTCAAACTCCTGGGCTCAAATGATCCTCCTGAGTAGCTGGGACTACAGACACATACCACTGCGTCTGGCTAATTTTTTCTATTTTTAGTAGAGATGGGGTCTCACTCTTGTTCAGGCTGGTCTTGAACTCCTGAGCTCAAGCGATCCTCTCATCTTGGCCTCCCAGAGTGGTAGGATTATAGGCGTGAGCCACTGTACTGGGCCAATGTCCTGAAATTTAGTGTTAAGCAAAAGTAAACTAGCTAAAATATATGAAAGTTAATTAAATCTTTTCAGTTGAGGTTTCAGCAAAGGAGGAAAATTGTATCTTTTCATCTCAAGTTTCCCAGTCCCGATTGTACTGTTGCCAGTTAAGTAGAGCAGTGGGGCTGCTAAATCTACAGAAAGAGAACTGAACAAGGAGGAACATTTCTGCTATGGAGAATTAACTGATTGGATGGAGAGCTTGCATGGTGGCAGTAACTCTGAAGAGGAAAACAAGGACAGGAGGGGTCCTAGTCTGGCCCAGGAGGGGAGGACTTGAGATAGCATTGTTTTGTTTCCCCAAATAGTCATTTGACACTGTAAAGGAGGCATTGAGATATAAGGACACATCACACACACATACACTTTCCTTCCTTCCTTCCTTCCTTCCTTCCTTCCTTCCTTCCTTCCTTCCTTCCTTCCTTCCTTCCTTTTTTTTTTTTAACCATACCCTTTTCCCCCAGAACCAGCTCTTTTCCCTACCTCCCTTCCTTTTGTAAATCGAGGTACTTACAGGGTCAGAAGAGTGGTTGGGGCCAGGGTAAGAGAATGCTCAAGTGGCTTTGCTACCACTGGAAAGGATTGGATTAGATTGGGAGAATGACTGGGGAGCCAACAGACGTAGAGAATTGACTGCAGATATTTTAATGTCAGATTTTGTAAATGAGGAAATGTATTATATATATGAATTATTTAATATATAGAACACAGAATGCATACGGTCTTATTCTCAGGAAACTAAATGGGAGTTCCAACTGCCTTTCTCATGAGTACCCTGGGTAACATGTTTAAGGATAAAGAGTAATAGATATATTTCCATCTTTATCTGTGAGGTTCCTAGTCCTTACTAACATACAGTTTCATTATGTGATTTTTTTTTCATTGCAGGGCATCCAGTATTTATGTTCACTCCAAGACCTGAATTTATATTATAATAACATTCCTTCATTAGTGGAAGTGTCCCGCCTACAGCCTTTACCCTTCCTCAAAGAACTAGATTTGAGACTTAATCCTGTTGTAAGGAAAGATACAGATTATAGGCTCTTTGCTGTATACACGCTACAAACTCTGGAGAAACTGGGTGAGACCCTCCTTCTCTGTTCCTTTCCAGAGAATCTTACTTTAAATCAGCTGCCTTTTTTTTTTGTCATTTTTTTTTTCTCAGTTTGAATCTGGACTTCATAGCTGCCTCTTAACCTTTTGGATGCTAGCCCATAGTGTGCACTGGCAGGATATATTTGTTTATTAGTCAATATTTATGTAACTCTTTTGGTTGGCAGGATGTATGACAAGTCCTTTTATTGTTTATTGAATGACAATCTATGATTTTATCAGTTACTTCCAGCTTTAGTTGTCTTCAGTTGATGGTTTCACCACCACTTCCTCCTCTACACAAAATTTCCAGATTGAGAATTATTTTTCCAGGTGCCCCAACTTTGCAACTTTATTAGCACTGGAAAACTAACACAAAAATTCTTTGGGACTTAGTTGGCAAGGAACAAGAAACATTCCTTTAAATAAGCTGGTCTATATTTCCTTGTAATTTTATTGTTGGATATACATTTCTTATTGATACAAAACTGGATTTCACATGGCCCCAGGAAAAGTCCTCATAGGGAAACTAAGTGAACTCTTTCAGAAAATGGTGTGACTGTCAGCCCTCACATTAGGCCATTGGGTAGTGTGCTGTCCAAGCACTACTTTCCTGAAGGGGTAGTTATACCTGTGTGGCAGTTGTTGCTATGGTTCCTTGTAGTCTCCCTGAGTTACTGCTTGCTCCAGTGACAACATAATAGCATTATTTTGTGAGCTGTCTCTAACACACAAAGGTGAGAATGTCCTTTAGTTTTTCCTCTTTGAATTTGGTTTTCTGACCCACTACTGGTTACTCCAAGCAAGAAACATGCTCAGACCACGGTTTTTGCCTCCAGATGACCGAACTGTACGTGAAAGTGAGAGAAAAGCTGCCAAGCTACATTTTAGTCAGTTGGGCAACAGTGAAAATTTTCTTTTAGAGGTGGAAAAAAGGTAAGAAGATTCTTTACAAAAAAATTTTTTAGTTTGGTTCTGAACATAAGTCATAGTGAATTCCTAGTTGTAAATTCTCTAAAGTTGTTTTTCATAGGTAATAGATAGGGATACTATGAGATAACTTAGCTGTCTATATGCTTACCAACACTTTCTTGGTAGAGTTATCAATCAGGTCATGTTCTTTTCCTATTGAATTTGGAAGATTGCATTACCGTAGGCAAGATTGTTACAGGTAAATTTGTTAAAGGAAGAGAAGGGATGCACGTCTCTACAAGACAAAAAGTAAACAGACCTTGAGGCTCTGAGGCTTTAAGCCTCTGAATGGTGTATCTTTCCATTTCTTTTTTTTTTTTTTTTTTTGCCTAGGCTAGAGTGAGTGCCCTGGCGTCAGCCTCGCTCACAGCAACCTCAAACTCCTAGGCTCAAGCAATCCTGCTGCCTCAGCCTCCCTAGTAGCTGGGACTACAGGCATGCGCCACCATGCCCGGCTAATTTTTTCTCTATATATTAGTTGGCCAATTAATTTGTTTCTATTTATAGTAGAGACAGGGTCTCGCTCTTGCTCAGGCTGGTTTCGAACTCCTGACCTTGAGCAATCCGCCCGCCTCAGCCACCCAGAGTGCTAGGATTACAGGCATGAGCCACTGCACCCGGCCAGTATTTTTTTCTGATGATGAAAGTAATACATGCTTATTGTTAAGAATTTGGAAAATCCAGAAAAAAACCCACAAGGAATAAAATAAGTAACTCATAATCCTACCACCCAGAAAGAAACACTAATTGTATTATGATAAATATCCTTTAGTCTTTGGAGTGTGTGTATGTGTATGTTTTATGTCTATAAAAATATGTGTGTATATATAATATTTTATTGTAATCTTTCTCTACATACCATTTTTAATTTAACAAGCTATCATGAACATATCACCACAACATTCTTATATTCTTCTCCAGAATAAGTCTTTTTTTTTTTTTTTTTTTGAGACAGAGTCTCGTTTTGTTTCCTAGGCTAGAGTGAGTGCCGTGGCGTCAGCCTAGCTCACAGCAACCTCAAACTCCTGGGCTCAAACAATCCCTCTGCCTCAGCCTCCCAAGTAGCTGAGACTCCAGGCATGCGCCACCATGCCCGGCTAATTTTTTCTATATATATTAGTTGGCCAATTAATTTCTTTCTATTTATAGTAGAGACGGGGTCTCGCTCTTGCTCAGGCTGGTTTCGAACTCCTGACCTTGAGCAATCCGCCCGCCTTGGCCTCCCAGAGAGCTAGGATTACAGGCATGAGCCACCGTGCCCAGCTCAGAATAAGTCTTTGTTTACTTGTTTTTTGCCTTTCTTCCCACCACTAGAACATAAGGTCCATGAGAACAAGAGTATTGTTAATCTTGTTTATTACAGTATCCCTAGTGCCTAGAACAGTGTCTGGAACACGGAGGTGTTAAGAAATAATTTGTTGAATAATGAATGAATGAAATCCATACCTGTTGGCCTAAGATCCTTCTCTTTTCCAGTAACTGCCTATCTCTGCTTTGATCCATTTATAGTGTAGTGTTCTGATTTATAGTGTAGCCTTCAGAGAACATCCTTAGCTTCCTATTTTTTTCTTGGTTCTCTATTTTTTAAAATCAGGTTTATTGAGGTTAGTTTACATAGAATAAAATTCTGCTATAGACAGAAATGGAATGTTTCTAAAAAATTATTTGTGCAAATATTTTGTAGGTTAATGCCTACTTTAAATGCATTGGGGTACCCTGTTTACTATAGAAATACAGAAATGAATTAATGTATAACTGAATAAACTTTCTAGTAAGAAAAATAATTAATTCCATCATTTATCTGTTTAGTTACCATATAGTGATTGTAAAACCAGAGGCAAAAGTACCCAGTATTAACATTAATGTCTTACAAACTCTCTAACCTTGGATGAAGTTTGTTTTTAAGCCTTTCTGAGTCTAAGTCCCTCCACCGATAAAATGGATATAATAGCTAATTGAGGGGGGGCTTTTATGATGAAATCAGTGATTGTAAAGACCTGGCACATAGTCTAGGTTTCATGTACTTAATGTACTTCCCCAAGTACCTACCTCAGTCAAGTGCAGGCACTTGCCTTTCTTGTCTGTTTTTATAACTAATGGCTATCGTTGTCTGTGCTGTAATTCTTGGCAGCAGAACCTTCCTTTTTGTGTCCTAACCATGAGTGTTCTAATTCAAAAGAAAATATCTTACTGCCTCAATCATTCAGACTTAAGTTTGTGTCAAGAAACAAAATAAATTCTGAATTTTCTAGGTTTTACCACTCTAAAGGCTGACCTATAGTGTCCTTCTCGCATACTTCCCAGAATAAATATTATCACTTTAAAAAAAATATGACTTTATCTGAAATATTTGTGAAATATAATTAAATTGATATGTTCTAGAGCATTTGAAGAAAAAAATATGATCACCATACATGGTTCTTTTTGTTGTTGTTGTTTGTTTTTTTGAGACAGAATCTTGCTCTGTTACCCTGGGTAGAGTGCAGTGGTATCATCATAGCTCACTGCAACCTCAAACTCCTGGGCTTAAGCAATCCTCCTGCCTCAGCCTCCCGAGCAGCTGGGACTACAGCACCATGATGCTCAGCTAATTTTTCTATTTTTAGTAGAGAAGGGGGTCTCACTGTTGCTCAGGCTGATCTCAAACTTCTGAGCTCCTGCTTCTGCCTCCCAGAGTGCTAGGATTACAGGTGTGAACCACCGTTCCCAGCCCATGAACTGTTTTCTAAACAGCATTTACTGGTGATCTCAGAAGTCTTCTTTTGAGTTTTAAATAAATTATTCTATGTGGCAGCTCTAGGGAGAAAACAATGAAAAACTGTGTGACAGATGAAAGCTCTGCATCAAAAGTCAATGCTGATGTTGACACCAGGATTGAAATCGGTAAGTTTTCTCTTTGTGATCACAAAATGATTAAAATATCACTTGTCTCAGTTGTAATAGTCAATCTTGGTAGGATGAAGACAAAAGAGCTGAGAAAGAATAGATTTGAAGCAAGCATGAGATTTGCTGGCTGTATTTTTCCTCCTTCTTCTCACTGCCAGAAGGACCTTATTGAATAGGCCTAACCCAGAGCCCATCAAAGCACAAGCTGTACTCAGAGTTCAGTTTCATTTACATCACTTTGCATCATTAGCACACCAAGAAAATTACATTGCCTGACCTAGCAAGAGCCTGGGCATCGCTAAGGTGATTGATTTCATTATTTAGAGACTGATGACTCATCTGCATCCATGCAGCTTGCAGCCTGGGCCTCTTGGGCTCCCCCACCAAGAACCTTTGCAGCTGTAGACTCTCTTGTGTTTGGGCTGTATTCCTGGAGAATGTTTGTGTTATATTCCTGTAAGCATTATTGGTAAGCCTATATGATTAAAGTGGTTATGCCACATGAATAGTCATGCCACAGGCTAAGAGAAAGGTTTCTACCAGAGAAATTGCATTTGCTGTATCCTTGTGCGTTAGCCTGGCTCTATAAGATAAATCAGTTAACCTTTTGCTTGAGAAAACTTTCTTCTGTCTCTAGGCCTCCATCTTTTTGAAGGAACTACTGAATTATATACAAACCCTAAAAATTAATTTCTAAAATCCCAGCGATAACTTTAAGAAATTGACTCTGTAGTTGAGACATTAAGAGTTTTCAGTTTATAACAAATAGTTTTATTTTCTTGACTTCTTATCTATCCATGTGAACATTTATTGACAAGTCCTTTTCACAGTATTTTGTGGTAAAATAAGCCATGGTGAGGTATGATTTTAGTTTTCCTTTCTTAGTGTTCCAGTGCACATAAGTGATAGAAGTATAAATTGCTTTATTTCTATTTATTTATTTATTTGTTTGTTTGTTTGTGTTTATAGAGACAGGGTCTCATTCTGTAGCCCAGGCTGGAGTGCAGTGGTGCTGTCATAGCTCTCCCCAGCCTGAGACACCTGGGCTCAGGTGACCCTCCTGCCTCAGCCTCCAGAGTAGCTGGGATTACAGGTGTAAGCCACCATGTCCAGTGCTTTGTTTCATTTTACATAGCATTTTTAATATTTTAATGTTGATATGATGCAATTTTATTGTAATAATTTTGGAAAATACTGAAAAGCATGAATAACAACATTTTAATCACATGTAAGCCCATCCTCTAAAGAGAATCCCAGTTAGTACTTTGATGTACAGCCTTTCTTGGTATACAGCCTAGTCTTTTTTCTAGTTACATTTATAGACCCATTTCCAGACAGAAAAATACATTGAAGCATAGTTTGACTGCCTCTTTTTGTATGAGCTGAATTAGACTTCATTTATGCTGTATTACATTAACACAAGCAAAGATTCATTCCACAAGTTAAAATGTTTGAAAGTGTACACTCTCTTCTGAGAATAAACTGCCTTACTAGACAGAGGGCCTATTTCTGAAGATTCTAAGAATCTCTGGCTGTTGCCTGGATTTTTTTTTAATATGAAATTTATTTTACTCCTTGAAACGTTAAGGAGCTTTGCTTTCCACTGAAAATTGTGTTTGTGCTAGATCCCTGGGGAGTGTTGCCAGCAAGCACTGTTGGTAATCTAATATGATCAAAGTGGTTATGCCATGTTAATGGCCATGCCACAGGCTAAGAGAAAATTTTCTGGAGAACAGCTCCTACTAGCTCAGTTGTTCAAAACAGTGTTTTCCCACCAATCATTTCGAATGGGCAGGAAGCCCCCATTGTCTTGGATCCTCCTCCTGTTCTCCTAACAACATAATCTTTGACTCTTTCAGTGATTCTTCTCTCCCTCCTAAACTCCCCAAATAAGCATATCTGGGCTAAGTCTTCAGGCTCTCCTAGTCTTTCTCTACTCCTGCCCTTATTGATCTTGTCTATTTTACAGCTTTATTTACAAATAAATTTATTATTTATTTATATTTATTTTATATTATTTCCCCATATCTTAAATATGTTTGTTGGTCTAGCTTTGACAGCCTGTACTGGTCTCTCTCTGCACCAGTCCCCTATTTCTGTTGAGCAACCAGTAATATTAAACAGTAATCACCACTGTTTAACTTTCCAGCTCCTCAAGCTAAATGTGTCCAAAATGACCCCAAAACCGAATAAACAAATGAGCTCTTTCCCCACCAGCCCTCAACAGCCATAAACCAGTTTCATCAGCATTACCACAACTTTCCCATTACCCTAGCCCAGAATCATGTTGGGGTTTGATGCTGCTGCTCTCTAAAGCCCAGGTGAATATTCACACCCTGTAGTATGACCCACAATTGATAAGCCTCCCTTTCCATTTCATAATAGTCTCTTAACAGGCACACTTAATAGCTATCATTTCCAAAGCGTAAACCCTGGGCTAGCCACTGTCTATTATCTCAGTTAATCCTCACAACAACCTTGAAGGTAGTTTTGCAAGTGAGGAAACTGAGACCCAAAGAGGTAAAATAACTTGCCCTAGTTATAAAGTAAGTGGCAGAGCTGGGATGCAAGTTCTGGTCCATCTCTCATCAAAGTCCTCTCAACCATTATGTGATGCCCCTTCCCAGTCTCTTCTTCCTTTAATTCATTTTGTACTTTGCTGCCAGATTATCTTAAAAACATGACTGTGATAATTATTAATAATTACACTTGCCTACTCAAAAACTTCAATGGCATTGCTCACGCCTGTAATCCTAGCACTCTGGGAGGCCGAGGCGGGAGGATTGCTCTAGGTCAGGAGTTCAAAACTAGCCTGAGCAAGAGTGAGACCCTGTCTCTACTATAAATAGAAAGAAATTAATTGGCCAACTGATATATATAGAAAAAAATTAGTGGGTGGGGTGCATGCCTATAGTCCCAGCTACTCAGGAGGCTGAGGCAGGAGGATTGCTTAAGCCTAGGAGTTTGAGGTTGCTGTGAGCTAGGCTGACACCACAGCACTCAGTCTAGCCTGGGCAACAAAGCAAGACTCTGTCTCAATAAAAAAAAAAAAAAAAAAACTTCAATGGCTCCCACTCTGCTACTAAAATAAGTCTAAACTCCTTCACCTGATATATGACTGCACTATGCTCTGTCCACAATTTATCTCTTCAGCCTAACCTGAAACTTTATCACCTATTTCTTAGCTACAATGTCCAGTGCTCCAATCAAACCAGACCACTCCTTCCTCCCCAAATAATCCTTTCCTTCTTGTTCTTTTGTTCCTAAACTAATGCTGGCTCTCTGCTCAGAATGCTTTAATCAAATCTTAGCTTTTCTTTATGACCCTGTTAAAAGTCCGTGCATTTTAGCGAAACTTTTTTCACTTTCTTTATAAACTCATATAACTTATCTTCTGAAACATATACTCTGGAAGTAGAAAAAGCAAACATTCCCTGAAGCACTTGTAGCATCATTAGAAAAATGAGACAAACATGAAAGAGCTAAGTAACAATTCTAAGCAATGTATTTGTTATTTGTTTTGTTGTTGTTGTTTTTTTTTTTGAGACAGGGTCTCACTTTGTTTCCTGGGCTAGAGTGCCATGGTGTCAGCCTAGCTCACAGCAGCCTCAAACTCCTGGGCTTAAGCAATCCTTCTGCCTCAGCCTCCCGGTAGCTGGGACTACAGGCATGCACCGCCATGCCCGGCTAATTTTTTTATATGATTAATGGCCAATTAATTTCTTTCTATTTTTAGTAGAGACGGGGTCTCGCTCTTGCTCAGGCTGGTTTCAAACTCCTGACCTTGAGCTATCATTCTGCCTCGGCCTCCCAGAGTGCTAGGGTTACAGGCATGAGCCACCACACCCAGCCTAAGCAATGTATTTGAAAATGTCAAATGAATGACACAGATCAATATTCCTCAGATTCAGGGTTGTTGACCCCTAATCCAGGATACATCGCAGAGGTCCACAGGCAGTCTGAGACACTTTAATTTTGTGTTTTTATTTGATGGCAGTTAAAAAAAACATTGAAAAAATATAAAGACAAAATAGCTCTTTTGCAGTGATAATCTGATTTTTTTTTAGAAAATAAACTTTATTTTTTAGAACACTTTTAGATTCATGGAAAAATTGAGCAGAAAGTATAGAGACTTCCCATAGACCCTTTGCCTACACACACACACAATCTCTCTCACTATCGACATCATGCACCAAAAGTGGTACATTTGTTACAATCTGATAAACCTATAAATATATTGACACATCATTATCACCCAAAGTCCATAATTTACATTAGGGTTCACTCTTGGTGTTGTACATTCTATGGGTTTGATAATGTTTAATGACATATATCTACCATTTTAGTATCACACAAAATATTTTCATTGCCCTAAGAATTCTTTGTGTTCACCTGTTCATTCCTTCATCCTTCCTAACACCTGGCAACCACTGATCTTTTTACTGTTCCAAAATGTCACATAGTTGGAATCATACAGTATTGTTGCCTTTTCAGATTGGCTTCTTTCACTTAGCAATATACACTTAAGGTTCCTCCATGTTTTTTATGGCTTAATAGCTCATTTATTCTTAGTACTAAATAATATTCTATAGTCTGGATGTATCACAGTTTATTCATTCACACACCCACTGCAGGACATCTTGGTTGCTTCCAGGTTTTGGTAATCATGACTAGAGCTGTTATAAACATCCATGTATGGGTTTTTGTGTGGGCGGTGTAAGTTTTCAACTCAGTTGGGTGATTACCAAAGAACATGATTGTTGGATCATATGATAAGAATATATTGAGTTTTGTAAGAAACTGCCAAATTGTCTTCCAGTATAATCTTTTTAGGATGTCTTTTAATACACTGAGTTTAGTTCCTTAGATTGCAGTTTCTCAAACTAGATTCCTATTCTCAGAGTTTATTAGAACATTGAGCTTGAGAAACATTGATGTGGCTGGTGACATGCTCAGCGTGTGCTAGAGAAAGTGGGTTAAGGTTTTGTGGCAGATATGGAAATAAAACTGCCAGACCTTACAGGCTGGAGAGCACTGGGATGGCCTGAAAGGAGGAGGCAACACATTTTGGCTGGTGGGGTTGGTGTGAACAGCTGTAGGAAAGTGGTAATGAGCATGGCAGGTCACGAAGAAAGCCGAGTGATGGTGTGGTTTGGGTGGAGTGTTTGTGTTGGGTAGAAGGTCAGATTCTGGAGAGCAATGAATGCCTTACTAAAGATAATTTACATTTATCTTGTAGGTATATGTGTATGATACAAAGATTCTGCAAGTTGAAAGGGACCCTGTCTACTCTTTTAGCCAGGTCTTTTTGCCTTTTTGAAATATAATCATACCTAAAAGGTACTGATTTAATGAATATCTTATTGTAAAATAGCAAAGAAAAATTCACCACAATCACCCTCAGTGGCTTGTTCATGTGTCTAGCAGATGTGTCATTTCAATTTGTTTATCCTGGCTGTCTCTTTGTTTTGCTGCAATGGAGTTTTGGTTGGATAAAGCTCAGCTTTTAGCTTAGATCTCCCAAAATATTCACTTAGACAAGATAGAAGTTAATTTCTTTCTCATATAGAAATCCAGATGTTGGCAGTCTAGGGCTGTTATAGGGGGAGGCTCTTAGTGGAATAATGAATATAAGGGAGGGGCACCTAGCAATCTCTGCCACAGTAGAAGTGAGAGCAACTCAGCAAAGTGCATATCTATTGGGTAAGGCCCAGTATGTCCATATTCAGCCATAAAAAGAAATGAAGTACTGATACATGCTACAATGTGTATCTTAAGAACATCATGCTAAGTGAAAGAAGCCAGACAAAAAGACCATATATTATATGATTTCACTGATATGAAATATCTAGAATAAGCAGTTCCATAGAGACAGAAAGTATATTGTTGGTTGCCAGGGGATGGCAGAGAGGGGAGAATTGGGAGTGACAGCTATGGGATTTCATTTGGGGGTGATGAAATTTTCTGGAATAGATAGAGGTGATGGTTTCTATAAAGAATTAGGTTACAGCCAGCAATTTCTGCTATACCTTGTTTCTCCTATACCTTGTGTAATGCTACTGCAACAGGAATCATTAAGTTTGAAAGCTCATGTCACTTTGAGAAAAGTAGTTCTGTCTAGTCCAATGGTTGGAAGAATATCTTATGTTTAAGTAGGACATTTCAGTCCCAGAAGGCAACTCAGAAATAGGAAGTATCTTAGAGCCTCAAATAGACTGAGGGGCCAGTTCTCCAGAGGCTGGCTTTATTCACTCTTTATTCTCAGTTGCCCTGGCTTATAGTGGTTTTCTTTGCCAGACCAATAGAAGAAAAGGAGCAGAAGAGCACATTGTTTAACAAAGGCCCAAGCTTTTGACAGTATCTTAATCCTTACAATCCTGCTAGAAAAAAAGCCTCCCTAAACAAAAGCAAAACCCTTATTGTCATCCAGGTTCCTCCAGAAGACCTCAAATTGCAGAATTCTACAATTAATAAGTGTATTAATAAAAAATGTGGGAAAATTTTTGTACAAGTGTGACAATCCAATAGAATTTCTAACTGGCTCTTCTTTTTTTTTAGACAGAGTCTCACTCTGTTGCCCAGGCTAGAGTGCTGTGGCGTCAGCCTAGCTCACAGCAACCTCAAACTCCTAGGCTCAAGCAATCCTCCTGCTTCAGCCTCCTGAGTAGCTGGGACTACAGGCATGTACCATCATGCCCAGATAATTTGTTATATATATATTTTTTTAGTTGTCCAGCTAATTTCTTTCTATTTTTTAATAGAGACGGGGTCTCGCTCTTGCTCAGGCTGGTCTCGAACTCCTGAGATCAAATGATCTGCTCACCTCGGCCTCCCAAAGTGCTAGGATTACAGGTGTGAGCCACCACGCCTGACCTAACTGGCTCTTCTTGATAACAGTTTCCAGGATGGCCACGTCTAGGATACATTTTTTGTTTGTTTTTCCATTTTATTTTTAAAGTTGGCAAAAATCATAGGCAAATCTTATGCCTAATCAAAGGCAAAAAATACGGGGAGACCTAAGGATTTATGATTCCTCTCTATGAAATAGGTCCTGATTAGTTTTTCTCTTTTTCCAAATGAGGAAATCGAGGCAGAAAAAAGCTGGTTTGAAATGGTGAATCAGTGCTGACTACTGATTAGTTCCCTGGAGATGTGTAATGCCAGTCTATTCCCAGTATCTCCTGTTATAGCTGGAGATAGTTGAATTGGTATCAAAATTCATTATTTATTCACTTAGGAAATGTGCAAAATATTTGCCTTCCTCTCATTCTACTGAACACTTCATAATTTATGAAGCCATTTCATGTCCATTATCTTGTTTTAACCTGGCCTCAACCCTTAGAGATAGGCAGTTTAGGTTTTATCATCACCATTTTACAAATGAAATGAGAGATTTAGAGCAGTTAAGAGTTTTGCCCACATTTGCAGGGTTTCTAAGTTGTGGCACCAGAACTAACATTCAATCTTGTGACTTCCCTTGCAGTATCTTTCCATTAGACTTGCTGCCTTTGAAGTCTGGTCAGTGCTTCATTGTATGCCTTTTCTTTTAACACAGCCTCAAACAAAGGACTTTTTATTCCTCTCCCCAACCGGGAAATAAAGGATTCCCTAACAAGTACTTCTGCAACCCAGGGCAATGGTACACCAGATCAGAAATTAGACACTTTCCCACCTGGGACACAGGTAATGGATTCACTCTTCTGCTGATCTGTTGATTTATACTAATAATTCAGTGGACTCTCAATTATTTATGAAGGTCTAAGAGGACTTGCTTGATAAAGGCAGTTTAGACCCTCTACAACAGCTGTCCCCAATCTTTTTGGCACCAGGGACGTTTTCATGAAAGGCAATTTTTTCATAGATCGGGAAGGAGAGGGATGGTTTCGGGATGATTCAAGCACATTACATTTATTATGCACCTTATTTCTATTTTTATTACATTGTAATATATAATGAAATAATTATACAACTAACCATAGGTTTGGGACCTCTGCTCTAAAAGGAAAGGGCAGGACAGGATGAAAAGTACCTTCTCCATTAGTTTTAATCTTCTCTTTTCCTCTCCCTCACTAACCTGTTATCAAATGTCATATATTTATACATACAACTTCAGCACATGTTATGTCAGGTATTTTGATCCTCAAACAGGAATGCAACTGTTTTTGGCTGGTTTTAGCAATAAAATTTCTCTTCTCTACCCAATTTCTCCAACTCCTGTGGCCTTGCCTCTTACATTTTCTACTTCTGCCTTTTAAGTACTAAGTCTTACATTTCAGGTCCAGCTTTCCCAAAGCTTCCTCTGCAAGGTAAAAGAAAAAAAGAAAAGTTAAGGAAGAAAGTTGGCATAGAATTTGTGGTCAATGGGAAGATAAAGATCATGCAGGATGAGGGAAGAATAAAAAATAAGTTTTAGTGAAAAAATTGGTCAAGGGATGCAACCCATAATAATGCAACCTATAAGACTTATTTTTGCGAGTGATAATACTTTATATAGTGAATTGACTACTTTATACTGACTCCCTCTGTCTGCCTTTTCTTTAATAAATTTATGAGCAATGAAATTGTGGAAAATAGCCAAAAGGAGAAAGAAAAAAAGCAAAGGCTATGATTAATCCACAGTATGGATAATCAAGACTGTACTAGTAAAAAGTTAGTAAGATTTTTGTTTGGTTTGAGTATATAATACCTTCATGTTTTAAAAAGATAGATTAGCATTTAATTGGTTTCTTTGTCTTTGGAGACTCTACTTGGGTGACTAAGAAATGATTTCAATTACCATTTTTTAAAATATTAATTTTGATCTAAAGAAATGGAGATAAAGGATATTCCAATCTACAGTTAAAGTTAAATAGTACTTTTTAGTTATAAACAAACAAAAAAAACTTCTCTGAAATTACTTCTTGAAGTGAGAGAAAAAAGGAAATTGAATAGCTTGCTGTATCTTTTTAGTTTAAGAAATACGGAAGTGGGATTTCTTTCCATGACTACCACAAAGATACTGAATATTTTAAGATAATTTTTAAAAGAGCAAACCCTAGATGGCTTTCCATTTTTCTCAATCCTTGTCTAGTTGCATTTCAGATTAATTTTCAGCCTATTAAAACTCCCTTTAGCTATTGTGATTGATAGATTTTCCAGAAGATAAAATAAGTACTAGAGTCCTTTAAACAGAAAAAACAAAGTTGGAGGCCGGGCGCTGTGGCTCACGCCTGTAATCCTAGCTCTTGGGAGGCCGAGGCGGGCGGATTGCTCAAGGTCAGGAGTTCAAAACCAGCCTGAGCAAGAGCGAGACCCCGTCTCTACTATAAAAACAGAAAGAAATTAATTGGCCAACTGATATATATATATAAAAAATTAGCCGGGCATAGTGGCACATGCCTGTAGTCCCAGCTACTCGGGAGGCTGAGGCAGAAGGATCACTCGAGCCCAGGAGTTTGAGGTTGCTGTGAGCTAGGCTGACGCCACGGCACTCACTCTAGCCTGGACAACAAAGTGAGACTCTGTCTCAAAAAAAAAAAAAAAAAAAAAAACAAAGTTGGAAAAACTTCTATGCTGAGCTAGCTAAAGCAGAGAAAATACAGTATTTCACTGGACGTTTGCTTAAAGATCTGTCTCCCTAACTTTCAAGGATGGTCTTCCTCACTAGTAGGAAAGTATTTGGAACACCTGGTCTTATAAGCTCACATCTGAATGCCCATGGACTTCTTTCTACCTAACTTTCCTTTCCTTTCCTTTCCCTTTTCCTTTTCCTTTTCCTTTCCTTTTTTGACAGAGTTTCACTCTGTTGCCCAGGCTAGAGTGAGTGCCATGGTGTCAGCCTAGCTCACAGCAACCTCAGACTCCTGGGCTCAAGTGATCTTCCTGCCTCAGCCTCCTGAGTAGCTGGGACTACAGGCATGCGCCATCATGCCCGGCTAATTTTTTCTATATATTTTTAGGTAGCAAATTAATTTCTTTCTATTTTTAGTAGAGACGGGGGTCTTGCTCTTGCTCAGGCTGGTTTCGAACTCCTGACCTTGAGTGATCCTTCTGCCTCGGACTCCCAGAGTGCTAGGATTACAGGCGTGAGTCACCACACCGAGCCTCTACCTAAACTTTCAAACCTTTTTTAGATGCAGGAAGTGGCAAGAAGGGAGATGCCAAGTGACAATCACCAGGAAGATGGTAAGTATTTTGCTCATGGAGTATTTTTCCCCACACTAATCAGGGAAATCTGGAAGTCATGGGATTTGAGAGATGATGAAGATGTCTCAATCCAGAGCCCTATTTGGTCAACTAACTCTTTTCTGCTTTCATGAAGAACTGCCCTGCATGCTTAGTGACCTGTGAGGCTTCTCTGCTTGAACAGTGATATTTTGACTTCTTTTGTTCTTGATTTGCTATATTGGCCGAATATTGTTTCTTTTTCTTACGTTTCTTCCCTTGTTTTGGATTTCTTATTGTTATATTCATCCACTTTTTCTATTAGTTCATAAGTTATACACTATTTCTATACTTTTAGTATTACTCCCAAAATGACAATAGGTCTCCTTAACTTACATAATTTTAAAATTAATCAATACCTTAACTCTTATCTTGAGTAATTAAAAGAATTTCGAGTGCTTTACTCCATTTAATCCCTACTGACTTATATTTTATTATTATCATTATGCATTTAAATTCTCTATATTTTTAAAAACCTCACAAGATATTTTTATGCAGTTGATGTTCATTTAAATTTATCCATTTATTTGCCACAGTTTACTATTTCTTTTTTTCTTCTCAGACTTCCCTTCTGAGCTCATTTTCTTTTACTTTATAGTAGTATATACTATTGGTGATGACCTCTTTCAGCTTTTCTTTGTCTAAAAATACCTCCATTTCACTATCATTCTTGAAGAATATTTTTGCTGGGTATTGATTTCTAGGTTGGCAGTTATTTTTTCAGAATATTGAAGGTATCACTGTATTCTGTCTTTTATGGTAGATTTTGATAAACCAGCTGGAAGTCTGTCACTCCCACAAGGATATGTCTTTTGTTCTCTGGCAACTTTTGAGATTTTCCATTGCCTTTTTTTTTAAACAGAGTCTCACTTTGTTGCCCAGGCTAGAGTGAGTGCCGTGGCATCAGCCTAGCTCACAGCAACCTCAAACTCCTGGGCTCAAGCAACCCTACTGCCTCAGCCTCCTGAGTAGCTGGGACAACAGGCGTGTGCCACCATGCCCAGCTAATTTTATATATATATATATTAGTTGGCCAATTAATTTCTTTCTATTTATAGTAGAGACAGGGCCTTGCTCTTGCTCAGGCTGGTTTCGAACTCCTGACCTTGAGCTATCCACCCGCCTCGGCCACCCAGAGTGCTAGGATTACAGGCATGAGCCACCGTGCCTGGCCTCCATTGCCTTTGATTTTCTGCAGTCTCATTTTTCTCTCTTGTCTTTCTGGAACTTTTAATTAAATAAATACATATCAAAGAGTTTCAATTTGTCCTCTTTGTCTCTTACTGTCTTATATTGTTCACCTTTTTTTGTCAGGTCTATATTCTTGATAATTTCTTCTGACACACCTTTCAGTTCACTAACATTCTTTTCAGCTGTGTCTAATCTGCTGGTAGGTTTGTCTGCTGAATTCTTTTTTTTTTTTTTTTTTTTTTTTTTTTTTCACAAACAGGGTCTTGCTTTGTTGCCCAGGCTGAAGTGCAGTGGTATGGTCGTAACTCACTGCAAATTTGAACCCCTGGGCTCAAATAATCCCCCCACTTCAGCCTCCTGAGTAGTTAGGACTATAGCTGTGCACTACCAAATCTGGCTAATTTAAAAATTTTTTTTTGTAAAGACAGGGTCTCACTGTGTTGTCCAGGCTAGTCTCGAACTCCTAGGTTCAAGCATAAATTTAATTGCAGTTGTTTTCTTTCTTAGTTTTGTAAGTTTAATTTGGTTCTTTTTCAAATCCACTGGGTCATTTTTTATAAGGAGTAAATTTTCAGCTTGTTTTCTGCTTCTTTAACTATAGAAAACATAGTTGTTTTATAGGCTGAATCTGTTAATTCCAATATCTTATGTTTTCCTGGGTCTGTATTTGTTTTTTCTGTTAGTTATCACTCACATTGTCTTGTTTCCGTTTTATTTGAATGGTTGGCTTTGGCTGTTTGCTGGCTATTATATTTGAAAAATTATTTGTAGGAATGATTGAAAGTCTTGCATGAATATATCTTTTCTAGAACGGATTTTCATTTGCTTCTACCAGGTGCGTGGGACACACTATCAGTCTAGGATCATCTTAGTCCCAGCTCAAGGTTTGAGGTTTCCTGGACCACCCAGATGATGCAAACCTGGATTACCAGTCAATACAAAGGCTGGCTTATTTCCAGTTTACCTTTACTCTGAAGGTTGTATCCTATTCAGGTTACATCTTAATGGGTGTATGTGGGTGGGGAGGGAGAGTTTTGTCACACTTCTCACCTTGGGTGTACCCTGGACTTGGACTTCTGTCACTTTTTGCCCTAACAAGCCTAGAGTAAAAGTAGCTTCAAGTGCTAGACTTACTTAAATGGGTTCCTGCTGTTCACTAGATTTTGGCTTAGAAATTCCTCACTATCATGTTAGCTCTTTGATGCTTTTAAAAATATATATCATCCCACCTTTTAAATGCCTTCAACAGGTGATTACTGTGAATTACCTAATTTGTCATTACTTGAAACTGAAGTCCCTTGTTCTTAGATTCTTTTCATTACCTAAAGATATTATTCTATAGCATTTTCCTAGTGTATATGTTGATACTAGGTAAAACATTGATATTCTTATAGGTCCTATAGAGTTAGAAGGTACTTGGTTGCTTTTTTTTGGTAGAGACAGGGTCTGGTTTTGCTACATTGCTCAGGCTAATCTCAGTCAATCCGCCCACCTCAGCCTCCCAAAGGGCTGGGATTACAGGCATAAACCACCAAGCCCGGCCTATTTTTAAATTAGTGTGACTAACTCAGATAGAGTATTTTTTGTTTCCAAAGTAAGCCCTTCAACCATATGTAGCTCTGAAAGCACCAAAGAGCGCAGACCCTTCTCTTTTTGTCTGCTCTGCTTACTCCACTATGAGGCTTTTTAGAGATGACAGAGTTATTTCAGAGAAATGCTTTACAGCTGGGATAGTACCTAGGCCTTGGATTTTCATAGGTTTTACATTTCCTACCATTTAATTGGCTTAAGATAGTGGTTCCCAATGAGTAAATCTAAAGCCTCTGAGTGGAGTTTGGGGGATAGGAGTAGGCTTAGCTTTATTGCAAGGAGTCTATGAAATCATTGACCAACTACTGTCTATAAAATCGATTGTAAAATCACAACTATTGCCATGTGGGGGGGTACACCAAATTTTTTACATGAATTTAGAGTCTAGAAAACTCTGTCACTACAATTTTAGGAGAAAATTCCTAGGGGGTTCTATCGATAACAAATTTGAATCCAGAATGTTACAGATTCTTTACTGTTTACACAAATGTCCCACATGTTTTATTGGTAGTGGAGGTGTTGTTCCATGTGGAAGTCTTTTTATCACTTTATGCTACCATTTATCAAAATTATAAAGTAGCTGGGTGTACACCTGTAATCCTAGCACTTTAGGAGGCTAAGGTGGGAGAGGATTGCTTGAGGCCAGGAGTTCAAGACCAGCCTGAGCAAGAGCAAGACCCCATCTCTACTAAAAATAAGAAAATTAGCTGGGCATAATGGTGCACACCTGTAGGCCTAGCTACTCAGGAGGCTGAGGCAGAAGGATCGCTTGAGCCCAGGAGTTTGAGGTTGCAGTGAGCTATGATGATGCCACAGCAACTCTAGCCTGGGCAACAGAGTGAGACCCTGTCTCAAAAAATTATAAACCACCTCTTCCTGAGAACCTTTTTTAATAGACAGAGAGTATATTCAGTGAACTGAGGTATTCCCAACCAGGCCAAAAGAATTCTCATGATGTTTTGTTTCTTTTTCTTTGTTGATGATTAGAATTCAGACACTACTCGCCTCGTCAGCCCACAGTCCGATCCCCAGAGAAGATGACTAGAGAAGGATACCGAATACCTTTTTTTGACAATACGTCTTCAGGTTCTTCTTCAGAAAAAGACTTGATACCAAAGCCTGATACATACCAGCTTACCCATGATGCCTCCCTGAGTAAACGCCTGGACGTGGGTGATGCTGGCCAGATCCATCCCTATCCATTACCTTCAGATGTTGGTCTGGAAAATTATGATAGTCGTTATTCTCAAACTCTATCTATGCACAGAAGTCTTGGTAAAAGGCCTCAGAGAAGCAAGAACTATCGAGAATATGGTATAAAGCCTTCAAATGACATAAAGGCCACTGTATCTCATTCCTGTGGAGACTTACTGACTTCTCAATCAAACACTGACTCAAGCACTGAAAGGCTTTTGAAACTTAGTGCAGGTAACAGCTTCCTGTCAGTTTATGGCTCTGTTCCATAGGCATGAAGATAGAAGATATAACTGCAAATTTGGAATTAACATTTCTTAAATTGCATTAGCATATCTTAAATCATATTTCAGAGTCACCAGTGATCCTTGAAGCCTCCAGAAATCTGCAGGGTATGAGTTTCACATGATAGATACATTAGAGAAAATGTGTAGAATGTGAGCTTCACAACTACTTGCTATTTTAATTAAGTAGCATCCCAGAACATGTTTCTAGCAATATCTAGTCTTCTTTGGCCACAGTCGCTTTTATTCTGAACTACTTTCAGAAGTTAGTTTTAGGGTAAGTGATGGAGACCACTCATTTATTTATTCAAGAAAACTCACTGAGCACGCATAATGTGCCAGACACTGCCCTAGCTCTGCAGAAAAAGTAGCAGACAAAATAAAGTTCCATGAATACTTTACCATAATAAAAAAGTCCCTAATTTCATGGAGTTTACATTCTAATTAGAGTAGGATAGGTGACAAACATATTATCATATAAATATATGTCAGGTTATGATAAGCACTGTGAAGAAAAATAATATTAGGGTATAAAAAGTAAGAAGGAGGAGGTAGTATTGTAGCTAGAATGGTCAGGGAAAACATCTCTGATGAGGCATCATAAAAGTAGAGATTTGTTTTTATTTATTTGTTTCTTTTTTTCTCATTCAATAAAGAGAAATAAGTAGAGATTTGAATGAAGTGAGAATGTAAAGCATGTGGATTTTTCTAGACAATGGGAATAGTAAGTGCCAAGTTCCTGAGGCTGGAATGTGCTTGGCATGTTTAAGGAACAATGAGGAGGCCGGTGTGGCTGCAGCAGAGATAGTGAAGTGTATAGATGAAGTCAGAGAGAAAGCTTTTACTCTGAGTGAGATCAGAAGTCCTTGGAGGATTTGTAGCAGGGGAGTGACGTGGGCTCCCTTAAGAATTACTCTGGATACTGGGTTGAGAATAGACTGTGAGGAACAAAGATGAAAGTTAAAAAAAAAAAAAAAACCTTTGGAGCAAATAAAAGATGATGATGGCTTGGGTTAGATAGACAGCAATGGAAGTGGTGAGAAATAGAGTCTGACTACATTCTGAAGATAACACCCTGTGATTTACTGATGGATTGAGAATGAGGTGTGGGAGGAAGAGGGTCAATGATGACTCCATGGTTTTGAGTCTGAGTAAGTGGAAGAATGGAGCTTTTGTTTATTAAGATAGAAAAGAGTGGGAGGAACAAGATTTAAGATAAACATGAAGAGTTTGGGTTTTAGATATACTAAGTTTGAGGTGTCTATTAATACTACCTGGAGATGCCAATTTGATAATTGGACATATTAGCCTAGAGTTCAGGGAAGGAGATGTGGCTGGAAATATAAATTTGGGGATGATAAGTGTATGGATGGCATGAAGGATGAGCTCTCCCCTAAGGAGTAAAAATAGATAGAAAAGAGATCTGAGGACTGATCCTGAGCCCTACAACAATTATAAATCGAGTGGATGAAGAGAGACCAGAATGGAGAATGAGATAAAAGCAGCCGGTAAGGTAGGAGGGAAAAAAGCCAAGAGGAAGTGGTATCCTGGAAGCCAAGTGAAGAATGTGTTTCGGAAGGAGGGACTGATCAATACTGCATCAAATGCCCCTTATAGATAGAGAGTGAGCTAGGACTGAGAAGCAATTATGGTATCTGGCAAAGCAGAAGGTATTAGTGAACAGCTTCAGGGGATGCATAAGAATAAAAGCCTCATTGAGGTGAGTTCAAGAAAAAATTGTAAGTGAGGCAATAGAGTTACCAAATATATTCAACCCCTTCAAGGAGTTTTGCAGTAAAGGGAAGCAGAGAAATGGAACTGTAGCTGGGGGCGGGGGGTGGGGGGGGGAGTCAAGAAGATCCTGATGAAAATGATCCAGTATAGGATCATTACCTGTTTTCTCAGTAAAATAAAAGAGGTCAGCACCTGAGAGTAAGGAGGGGGGAGAAGGTGTTGGAAGTTTGAAGAGGAAAGAGATGTGAAATAGTCACCTCAGAAGATAGAAGTATATGCCGGGCGTGGTGGCTCACGCCTGTAATCCTAGCACTTTGGGAGGCTGAGGCGGGCGGATTGCTCAAGGTCAGGAGTTCGAAACCAGCCTGAGCGAGATCCCGTCTCTACCAAAAATAGAAATAAATTAATTGACCAACTAAAAATATATATACAAAAATTAGCTGGGCATGGTGGCGCATGCCTGTAGTCCCAGCTACTCGGGAGGCTGAGGCAGTAGGATCGCTGAGCCCCGGAGATTGAGGTTGCTGTGAGCCAGGCTAATGCCACGGCACTCACTCTAGCCTGGGCAACAAAGTGAGACTCTGTCTCAAAAAAAAAAAAAAGAAGATAGAAGTATAGATTGACCAGAGTAATATATTAGGAGGGCTGCGCAGTACTAAGGGCCTAGTGACGATAGTGGTCATGAGTTTAATGTGTGAAAGTTCAGAAGAGATGCATGTTGTTCTCCAGCCATGTTCCACTGCTCTGCTATAGGCTTGGCACATGTAGACAGTTGTATTTAACCAGAGTTGGGGTTTTGTCAGAGAGAAAGGGTCCAGGGAGTTGAGGGTATATGCTAGGAAGTGGTTATTATGACCCTTGGATTCCAGGCTAGGTGTGGATGGAAATGAGACATTGGGGAGTTGAAGGGGCGGGTTCATCTCTCAGCCTGTTTCCTCCACAGATCTGTATGCCACAACCCATTTCAACAGTGACCCTGGTCTGCTGGCCAATGTAGAGCAACAATTATCTACCAACCTTGGTGATTTAACACAAGCACGTGGTTCTTTCCCAAACAACTCTGTCCTGGGAAACAGGACAACTCCTCTTCGGACACTGTTGTTGCCTCCTGGGACTTCGGAAGACAGAGAGATTTTGACCAAGAGGTCATTAAGTCCATCAAAGAGAGGATTCAAACGGAAGGACAATATCTTTGCCAACCTAAATCCAAAGCATGGTTCCAGAGATGCTACAGGCAGTGAGGCAAGTGTTGGCTTGTTTGTGTTTGTGCAAGAAACATATCAGGTTCAAGACCACTTCTGGTGAGGGGTGTTGGGGGTGGTTCTGACCAACAGTGTTATAAGTTCAAAGGTATTTTCAGAGGCCAATGACTAATACTGCCAGGCTAAAGCCTGTGATTCTTCTGCCCTTGGGAAAGTCATTCCCCACTGCCACCATTTTCTCATTTCTGTCACAAACAGAACTGTCCCTGAGAACTTCCAGGGCGGAAACATAGTGAGGAAGTACTTTGATAAGAAGTGGCAGACAAAAGTTTACCAACAGGAAGGAATGCAGGAGGTCCAGGGGCCTCAGAGTTTGCTAAAGATTCATCTCTGTAGCATCGATGTTTATAGTAGCATTGCTGTTTATAATATCATCATGTCTACACATTTGCTTCAGCCACAAATAGCTAACTAGGTTAAAATAGTTCTTATAAAAGCATTGCTTTTCCTTTTCCTTCTAGAAATTCAAATGATTCTAAAGTTTTTCCAAAGTAGCAGCAAGCAGAAGATGAATTAGATTATCCAGGTGATTTTTAGCTGAAAGTAGTTCACCGGATGAACAAAAAATCAAGGACCATTCCCACATATACAATATACACATAATTAATTTTGTAATATCATGGTATGATAGTGTTATACAATAAAATTCATTATTATCAGTTCTTAGTTACAAGTTTTGACCCTGCCTTTGCATACATTCCTCATGGAGAATGCCTTCCACTTTCATCTCTTGGGTGGGTTATTTGTTTGTTTTTTTAAGACATGGTCTTGCTCTGTGGCCAAGGCTAGAGTGCAGTGGCACGATCATAGCTCACTGCAGCCTCATATTTCTGAGCCCAAGTGATCCTCCTGTCTCGGCCCCCCTACTAGCTAGGACTACAGGCATGCAGTACTATGCCCAGCTATCTACTCTCCTCTCTTGTCTGTTTGAATGTTAATTTTCCTCCAGGTCCTACTTCCATCATTAAACATTTTTCTCTTTAGTTAGAGGAACCACAGCTGTCAGGGCCCTTTCTTCCCTTGGACCCAAGATCCTTTGTCTTAAGAACCATTTGTCAGTTACTCTGCTATGTAAGGAAGCAGGAAATTTGGTCAAAACAACTATTCCTATTCAAATTATTTTTCAGTTGTTGGAAATCTTTTTGCATGTTAGAATGGGTTTACAGGTTTGTTTGTATGGATTTTTTTTTAATTTTTTAAATACTTTCTATTCAGTTTCAGAATTTTGGAAGTAGTTATAATTTTTGTGCACCAAAGGGGGCAGTCTTATAATATTTTGTTTAACTTTTTGGTTTCGTTTTTCATTCTCAGCCCCTATACCTATTTTTGTCTGTTTGTTTGTCTTTTGTTTTTGTTTTTGTTTTGAGACAGGGTCTCACTCTGTCACCTGGGCTAGAATGCAGTGGCATCATCATAGCTCACTGCAACCCTAAACTCTGGGCTCAAGCAATCCTCTTGCCTCAGCCTCCCAAGTAGCTGGGACTATAAGCGTGTGCCACCAAACATGGCTAATTTTTCTTTATTGTAGATATGGGGTCTTGCTCTTGCCCAGGCTGGTCTCAATCTCTTGAGTTCAAGCGATCCTCCCTCCTCAGCTGTGCCCAACCTTGTTAATTTTTATAATTCGTTTATGCTTCTAAAGTCAATTGGTCAAAATAAATTTTATAATCATAAATTCCTGTATAGTTTAACTTTGTGTATCATGGGATTCTTTTTTATAACTTTTATTTTTTTTAATTTTTTTTTTTTTGAGACAGAGTCTTGCTATGTTGCCCAGGCTAGAGTGAGTGCCATGGCGTCAGCCTAGCTCACAGCAACCTCAGACTCCTAGGCTCAGGCAATCCTGCTGCCTCAGCCTCCCGAGTAGCTGGGACTACAGGCATGCGCCACCACGCCCGGCTAATTTTTTTTATATATATTAGTTGGCCAATTAATTTCTTTCTATTTATAGTAGAGACAGGGTCTCGCTCTTGCTCAGGCTGGTTTTGAACTCCTGACCTCAAGCAATCCGCTCGCCTCAGCCTCCCAGAGTGCTAGGATTACAGGCATGAGCCACTGCGCCCGGCCTGGTCAGATTGTTGTTAATAACTTCTTAAAGGACCTCATCTTTACCTCTTTATATCTCCACAGTCCTTATGCAGTACTCTCAGGACACATGATCAGTGCTCAGTACAGATCTGGTGAATAAATGTTTATCCCATTTGTAATGCCTTTCCCTATTAATTATAGGCCATGTGTGACTCAAGTCATAAATATCACTGTCTTTGTTGTTCTGCCTCACAGTTGTCCGATCTGATAACATTAGCTAATTAATCATCTTGATTTTTTTTTTTTTTGAGACAGAGTCTCACTCTGTTGCCCTGAGTAAAGTGCTGTGGTGTCAGCCTAGCTACCAGCAACCTCAAATCTCTGGGTGCAAGCGATCCTTCTGCCTTATCCTTCCGAGTAGCTGGAACTACAGGCACATGCCACAATGCCCAGCTAATTTTTAAATTTTTAATAGAGATGGGGTCTCACTTTTTCTCAGGCTGGTCTCAAACTCCTGACTTCAAGTGATCCTCCTGCCTCAGCCTCCCAAAGTGCTAGGATTACAGGCATGAGCCACCTCACCCAGCCTTATCTTGATATTTTTTACATCAATAGAACCAAATATTGAAAAATAATTTGGCTGTTTTTAATATATATCAGCTTTCTTGAAGTCCATGAGACCCTGCAGACAAGATTGGTAGATAGATTTGTACATAAAATTCACAATTATATAAATTATATATGTATCATGTCTGAATGAATAAAAACAATTGTGAATTTTACTGTACAGATGTATCTATACATCTATCTATACATGATTCTTACTGAATGAAAAGTATCTCAATATGGGGTCCAACAATAAAATTTAAGGTATAATATTTAAAAGGTTATAGCTGGGTGCAGTAGCATATACCTGTAATCCCAGCTAGTTGGGAGGATGAGACAGGAGTATTGCTTGAGCACAGGAGTTTGAGGTCAGCCTGGGCAACATAGCAAGAGCTTGTCTCTAAAAAAAAATCAAAGAAGTTATATTGGATATTTATGTTTATTATATATTAATATATTAAATATAAGCTTACTGTGGTTATAATTTTTTGTTAAATAACTCCCCCATTTTATTTTATGATATATTTTAATGTTATGCAATTTAATCTTTCCATATAACATAATATATTGAACCATAGATATAGGTATCAAACAACAATTTTCTTCTGAAAATTCCTACAGAAAATTATGGTAGAAGTTACTGTTACCTTTGAAATTATCCTTAAATATCTTATTGTATTTACCTTGGACATAAATAATATGCAATTCAAATCCAAAATGAAAGATGAAGTCATCTTTCCTTTTTACTTTTTTGAAATGTTAACACTTTAAATGGATTCTTACTTCCCCTATTGTGTAAGAATGACAAATGGTTGGGGTTTTTTGTTTTTTTCTTGAGCCTCTCTCTAGTGACCTGGGCAGTTTGCATGGTTTGCCAGGAAACCACAGTCCACCGATCTCTGCCAGAACCCCCCATGTGGCCACTGTCCTCAGACAGCTCCTGGAGCTTGTGGATAAGCACTGGAGTGGCTCTGGCTCTCTTCTCCTCAACAAGAACTTCCTTGGTAAGTGAATGCATTCTCAGTTCCTGGAGAAGGGCTGGACCTTGCTTCTGCTCTGTGTTCTGCTAAAAGCTACTTAGTCCCCTTGCAAGGAAAATTGTTCTCATGATCACTTACCAAAACATCTCAGAAATGCCATAGTTAATAAATCTGCTTTCCTCCCCATATCCTTCTTTATTTTTAAAAAATCAGCACTCTTTCCAACTGTTTAGTACCAATTGTTTTGCTCCTCCTGTGATTTTTTTTTTTTTTTGTAGTTTTTGGTAATATATAGAGTGGCCAGATATGTAAAATAGAGAACAGTCATGTTAATAATTGCAAAAAGATTTTACGGTTTTTGAAAAAGTACCAATAATGAATCCACAGAAATTGGGTTGATCATCAGAGCTTTGAGATGCTGTTGAAATGTTATGATTTGAAAAACTTGAATGAAGAAACGATCTGGACTCTTTATTTAGGGTTTTGCAAATGTTGGTTCCAAAGTGTTTGTTATTAAATGGAAGGAGAATTCAAGGTGGCGATAAAAGTTTAAGTAAAACCTAGAAAATTGAAAGTTGTTTGGACTTGGAATTTTTTTTTTTTTTTTAATTTCTGAAGGGACATATATAGAAGAATCCTAGCCCAGTTATTTTCCTTCCCCAGCTGATCCAGGTGGGGAACCTGCAGCCTTAAGGCAACTTGTGGCCTTCTAGGTCTTTAGGTGCAGCCTTTGGACTGAATCCAAATTTTACAGAACAAATCCTTTTATTAAAAGCAGTGCAGCAGAGAAAGATGAAACTTTTCTTGCCTTCTTTGGTGTTTAAAAAAAAACAATCTTGAAATCAGAAGGCTGCAGGTTCCCTAACCCTGCTTGGGGCTGCTGTTTCTCCACAGAGGATGTAGGATATAATTTCTTTTTTTTTTTTTTTTTTTTTTTTTTTTTTTTTTTTGAGACAGAGTCTCGCTTTGTTGTCCAGGCTAGAGTGAGTGCCGTGGCGTCAGCCTAGCTCACAGCAACCTCAAACTCCTGGGCTCAAGCGATCCTCCTGCCTCAGCCTCCCGAGTAGCTGGGACTACAGGCATGTGCCACCATGCCCGGCTAATTTTTTATATATATATCAGTTGGCCAATTAATTTCTTTCTATTTATAGTAGAGACGGGGTCTCGCTCTTGCTCAGGCTGGTTTTGAACTCCTGACCTTGAGCAATCCGCCCGCCTCGGCCTCCCAAGAGCTAGGATTACAGGCGTGAGCCACAGCGCCCGGCCAGGATATAATTTCTTGACCTTCATAAACATCTCTTATAAATTCTTATAAAAAGGAGATATTAGATCACCCTATTTGTTCTACAGAGCTGATAGTTATTGACTAGGAATTCTGTGCTTTAGCTTTTAAGATTGGCCCGTGTGCCCAACTTGAATTTTTGGCAGGTCCTGCCCGAGATTTGCTTCTGTCTTTGGTAGTCCCAGCTCCTTCTCAGCAGTGGGGTCGCTCACATCCTGAAGATATGATGAAAACCTTCCGCAGAAGGGAGCTTGAACTGAAGGAGGCTGGGCAGTTGGTCCCTAATGACATGGTATGCCTCTCTCATCTGCCTTTCCTCTCCTCCTTTCCTAGAAAAGGACAGAGTAGCAGGACTAGAAAAGCTCCGTGCCCTAAAGATCAGCATCACTACAAACAGCTAACCAAAATATGGAAAAGTCAGTCTGGGCAAAGTAGGAACACAAAACTTGCCAGGACAGGGACAACTTGGAGGTTCTGCAGGGATGACTTCTTCATTCTAACCCAGGTCCAGAAATTCTAAAGAAAAATTTGAAATGGGAAGAAACAAACAAATGAGAAATCCAAAAAACCCTGAAATGAAAATGCTTGGGATCACGTTTGTGAAAGTCCTGGTTTGATCCCAGTGAGGGAAGGCAAATGTCTCTGGGATTCTCTTTCCTCCCTTCTGATGGAGCTGAGAGTCCTGAGCCAGGGGTCAGGGCCATTCTAGAGCATCAGGCTGCTGGCTCTGAGAGAGGATGAAGGAACTCATATCCCCAGGCTTTTTCCCCTTTTCTTAATTTGAGGATTTTCAGACACCAAATATAGTTCTAGAAACTTTAGATAGATGACTCAGAATGTTCACTTGTCAAAATGACCACTGTTCTGCAAGAGTAGTGGATAGCTCATAGGAAAGATTGTGACTCCATGTGATAGATTTGTTTACTGCTCTTTAGCTGTATTTACCAATGAACTAAAGTTCTGGTGAGTGAGACAGTCACAGAGACGATTTCCATTCAGTTTATCACTAAGTAGAGGAAAAGATTCTTAAAGTCCTTTAAAAGCACTCCTCAGTATTTCAGATTCTTTATGTTTGTATTTTTTTTTTCTGATTTAAAGGAAAGTTTGAAGCAAAAACTGGTCAGAGTGCTAGAGGAAAACCTCATTTTGTCAGAAAAAATCCAGCAGTTGGAGGAAGGTGCTGCCACCTCCATTGTGAGTGGGCACCAGTCCCATGCTTACGGTAAGTTCGAGAAAGCCATGTGTGGGGCATCCCAAGACAACTGTTTATCTTGGTCATTACTTTTCCTAGCAGTTAATGGAAACAATCATCTTGCCTCAGAGAGCTGTAATGCAGGTGGCTTGAGTTACCAGATGAAGCTTTTTGTCAGCATCAAGCATGTACAAATGTTATTATTGCCATAATTTTTGAGAATGACACTTGCTTTTGTGATTACAGCAGTAGAAAGTGTTTTGTAAAACAAGTATAAAAAAATGTAAGGCAGCTGGGCGCGGTGGCTCACGCCTGTAATCCTAGCACTCTGGGAGGCCAAGGCGGGCGGATTGCTCGAGGTCAGGAGTTCAAAACCAGCCTGAGCAAGAGCAAGACCCCATCTCTACTATAAATGGAAAGAAATCAATTGGCCAACTAATATATATATAGAAAAAATTAGTCGGGAATGCTAGCGCATGCCTGTAGTCCCAGTTACTTGGGAGGCTGAGGCAGGATTGCTTGAGCCCAGGAGTTTGTGGTTGCTGTGAGCTAGGCTGACACCACGGCACTCATTCTAGCCTGGGCACCATAATAAAAATAAAAAACTAGCCGGGCATGGTGGCTCACGCCTGTAATCCTAGCACTCTGGGAGGCTGAGGCGGGCAGATTGCTCAAGGTCAGGAGTTCGAAACCAGCCTGAGCAAGAGCGAGACCCTGTCTCTACTATAAATAGAAAGAAATTAATTGGCCAACTAGTATATATAAAAAAAATTAGCCGGGCATGGTGGCGCATGCCTGTAGTCCCAGCTACTTGGGAGGCTGAGGCAGTAGGATCACTTGAGCCCAGGAGTTTGAGGTTGCTGTGAGCTAGGCTGACGCCACAGCACTCACTCTAGCCTAGGCAACAAAAGTGAGACTCTGTCTCAAAAATAAATAAATAAAAATAAAAAATAAAAATAAATAAAAAACTAAAAAATGTAAGGAAAATATAGCTCCATGACCTAGCAATAACTTCCGTTAATGTTTTTGGTATATTTTCTTCCACCATACCTCTATATTTTTAACTCAAAATTTAAAAGTGTCCTGATTTTTAAAAAAAAAATTTTAAATAAAGTTGCCATTATTTATAATAATGGTTATATAAATATAATAAAATACATAGAATATAAGTAATTTTAAAGAATTTCCAAACATTCAAAAGAAAGACTTGAAGTGGAAGAAAAGGCCCTAGAATGAAAATCCTTCTCTGAGATTATCTTTCTTACCTTCTGATGGAGCTGAGAGTCCTAATATTGATTCTGTCATAACTAATGCTGCTATTAATGTCTATATAATAAATTTTTGTGTACATTTCAGACTGTTTTCCTAGGAGACATTCATAGAAGTAGAATTAGTAAGTCAAAGGATGTGGACATTTTTAAAGGTTTTGTTACATAAATCACTCCCAAGAGAGTTGCTTCAATTTACACTCACATCAGCAGTGCACTTGAATGCCCTTTTCACTCCACCCTTGTCAACATTGAGTATTTTTTTTTAAATTTTGCCATTGTGATAAGTGAAAAATAATATCCCATTTAAGTCTTGATCTGTGCAACTTTATTATCAGCATGGTTTAGGGCAGTAGTTTAGGTAAAGTTTGCCCTCAACAGACTAACTAACTCAGCACCCCTAAGCAAATTACGAGCATATGGATTTATATGAGGAACTTGATCTGGAATTTTTGATTTGGAAGCATTGATGTCCATTGTTAAATCTCAGCACTAGCTGATGCTCACCTGTCTGAATAATCAAGATATGGGTGTCCGCTTACCTACTCTGAAAATAAAAGTAGGTGTTTGTCCACTAGATACTTGCTTTTAATCAGCCATGAGGCCCAGTACAGTATTTTGGCTTACTGGTGAAAAATACAGGTGTTGCAGCCCTGTTTTACCACCTTCTAGAACCCTATTACTCAAAATGTGATCCATAGTAGCATCACCTGGGAGCTTGTTAAACAACTATTGGGCCTCACCTCAAACCTACTGAATCAGAATCTATTTTTAGTAAGATCCTCAGATGATTTGTAAGCATATTAAAGTTTAAGAAGCATTATTCCAGAAGACTAACTTCCTTAAAAGAAAAGAAAAAGAAAGAAAGACTGACTGACTTCCTTAGGACCAGAGTTCCTGTGCTTTTACTTTATTATTGCAGGCAGTGGTAGCATATTTGGGGATCTAGGCATGAGTTTTTGGTCACAAATTCAGTTTCTGCAAGTAATCCTTGAGTTATTACTATGTGCCTGACTCAGTTCTAGGTGTTTTTACATATTACATAAGGAGTGAAAGAAATACATTTGCAAACTAAACTGAAAAATACAGAATACAGAGAGAGACCTAATATTTGCTGACTGCCTATCTAAGTGAGGACAGATGTCTCATTGAATCCTCATAACAGTGCTGTGGGGCAGGGTTATTAGCGCAAGTGAAAGAAAAATGAACTAACATGTGCAATATTAAGTGATTTAATTTTAATTCTGATCTATTGTCATACCCCATATTCTTGCCACTATATCTCCTTTCTCTGAGAGAGGGAATGACAAATGGAGTGTGGAGCTGGGTGCAATGGGGCCCTCAGTTCTCAAGATGTCCATCTAAATACTTATGCTCTGCTCAAAGACTGGCAGCTGGGAATCCTGTTCACTCCGGCTAATGTACCCTTTGTAGATGATCTTCTACGAAAAAACCAACAGCTGACCATGCAAGTGGCTTGTCTGAACCAGGAGCTTGCCCAGTTGAAAAAGCTTGAGGAGACAGTTACCCTTCTCCATGAAAGTCAGAGGTAGGAGAGGGTCTATCTAGCTGACTTCTGGAAGCAGATATTTATTTCTTTATCTTCTTCCTTTTATTTGGAAAGTTAATATCTATACATTCCTTTCTCTGTATAAACCTGTATATGGCCAGTTAGTTCAGGGATCAAAGTACTGCTTTCCAGGACACTATGTAAAACATTTACATAGTCCCAAAGTCAAATCTATAAGATAAATTCAGAAAAATTTAGCTTCTTTTCCTGTCTCCTCTCTCCTTTCTTTCCCTCCCACTAGCCTTCTGTGGTGGGTGTGGGTGTGTATTTGTATTCCCTTTTACTATGTAAAAAGAAGCATAGCGTTTCTTTAACATTTTATTTTGAAAATCAGTTCATAGTATATAAAGTTAGTTCTCATCCCTTTTTGTAGCTGCATAGTACAGCATTGTGTGTCTGTGACAGTTTATTAATTCTCTATGACATTTTTGGACATTTAGGTTAACAGTATCTTGCTATTAAATGTAGTGCTTTAGTGAATAACATTGTGCATACATTTTTTTTTTTTTTTGGCCAATGTATGGATGGCTTTTAACATTAGAAGGTAATCCAGAGTTCAAGAATATAACCATGACTAGCACCATTAGTTCATTGCAGACACAGGATAGAAGTAGAAGCTATGATTTTCAGATAGAAACTGAAGGCCCGATCAGGTGCCAATGACCCAGGGCTTCAACTTATCTTATCATGAAAGTGCTTTGGATGAAATAGAACCACCACTATGTAAAATGTGAAATATATTATTGCTTCAGTCAGTCTGGAACATAATCAAACAGAACTGTAATGAAGAAAATGTAGGTCTGCTTTAAAATAATCCACTCATAAATTGGACAATGTTTCCTATTTAAAGATGTTATTTCATGTTACATTTGTCTTTAGCAAACATTTCAGATCTGAATGGTATCTCCTTTGCTTTTATGATTTCATGACTGCCTTTTCCTTCTGGGCCTCAGATCCCTGGTGGTAACTAATGAGTATCTGCTGCAGCAACTGAATAAAGAGCAAAAAGGTTATTCTGGGAAAGCGCTCCTGCCTCCTGAGAAGAGTCATCATTTGGGGAGCGCTTCGCCCTTTGGGAAAAACACATTGTCTTCCTCCTCACCAGTGGCGCATGACACCGGTCAGTATCTAATCCAGAGCATCTCAGATGCTGTCCCAGAGCCTAGCTTATGGAGCTAGCATGGCACACCTGCACTGCAGCTTCCCTCTCATCTACAGAGGCTCTCAATGCCAGCACCACCAGTATGATATCCACAAAGATTAAGAAAAAAATGTATTCTGGTTATATTGTATTGGTCCTTCTTTTTATTTCTGTATTTATCTCCTCCTAGTGAGTTATTCTTTCCTTCTGCCTACAGAAATAGTTGGCACTTAGTCCTAGGCATTGTATCACATAGAAACCTTTGGCTGAAAATGTCGAAAAGGAAAAAAACACTGTACATTTTCCCCAATGTCATTTGAAACTGTGTGGTAGAAGGTTAAAAAAGAACAACCATCAGGTATCTTTTGTGTTAGAAGAAATTTTTAGAGAATCTGTACTGATTGATTCATCAAACTTTTTTGAGTTTCCTTCTGCCGTAGTAAAAAGGATGTCTGCCCTGGAGTAGCAGACATTTAGTCAGGAAGAAAAGCAAAAACTCATATAATGGAACTCAAAGCTTGGAATTGGTATCAAATAGGTCTAAACAAAAACCTAAAGATGCTCCGGAGGGAGGGGGGAATCAGTAATGGCCATTGTAGGAAATTGGAGAAGGCTTCAATGAAGACCTGATGAGTAGAGTGGTAGTAGATAGAGGGGATGCAGAGCCTTCCAGGACAAGATGGAAAAGTCTGGAGCCCCCAGAGGGATCTTTCTACAACCCTAGCCCTTCCTGCCTCCCCTATGAACATATGATAATGCCAGCCCCAGAATCTGCTCAGGGCACCCCTAAGGAGGAATAAAGAGTCTGACGCAGACTGAGCCCACCTTCCACTCCATTTTCTATGGGCATTGAAAGTGGCTGGCCCTGCCCCAGGCCAGGCACCTCACTAGGGTTGCTGGCCAGTCCTGGGGAAGTTGTCCATGTTTCTGATTTTCCTTGTGTGTTACTTGGTCCAGAGGGCAGACGTAGGGCTTGTGATATCAAGGAAAGGGCCACAGTTGTCATCTTGTGGGGCTAACTGGATTCACCATGAAGAGAGAAAGACCTCTAAAGCAAATAGAAAACAAGACGAGGAATCACCCCAGCTGTGCGATAGAAGTGGTCTCTGTGTTGCCCAGGCTGGATTCAAACTCCTGGCCTCAAGGCATCTTCTAGCCTCAACCTCCTGATACCTGGGGCTACTGGTAGGCACCACTGTACCCGGTCTAGAGAGGGTTTTTTTTTTTTTTTTTTTTTTTTTTGAGACAGAGTCTCGCTTTGTTGTCCAGGCTAGAGTGAGTGCCGTGGCGTCAGCCTAGCTCACAGCAACCTCAAACTCCTGGGCTCCAGTTATCCTTCTGCCTCAGCCTCCCGAGTAGCTGGGACTACAGGCATGCGCCACTATGCCCGGCTAATTTTATATATATATATCAGTTGGCCAATTAATTTCTTTCTATTTATAGTAGAGACGGGGTCTCGCTCTTGCTCAGGCTGGTTTCGAACTCCTGACCTTGAGCAATCCGCCCGCCTCGGCCTCCCAAGAGCTAGGATTACAGGCGTGAGCCACAGCGCCCGGCCTAGAGAGGGTTTTTAATGGCTCCCTTGCACAGATCCTAACCTCTCTTCCTTGCCCAGCCTGGCTTTGCTAGCAAGTGTACCCAAAGCTTTTGAGCTTTTGAGCTTTTGAGCTGTCGGGGGAGGAGCAGGGATAATGGGCAGCAGTGGCATTGCTGGGCAGGGGCTGCTATGTACCAGATTCTGCTAGATCCATTTAGTCTTTAAAGGTCTTCCTGGCCTTGGGTGAGCCTTGATTTCCCTCAGGCTCCATAATAGCATTTCAGGAATAAGAAGGGGCTTTCCTGTCAACCAGTTCTCTCTGTGGGCTGGGCTCCTACAAGCCACACTGCCAGTCACAGGAATGGATGAGTTATCACTCCCTTCTGCACATTGGGTGGTACTCTCACCTGCAGTTTAATAGCTGGAAGCCTGGCCCAATTTAGAACATAGTTTAATTCATTTCACTATGAGGATGTTTTAGTAAGTGAAAGCCAGAAGGAGTTGGCTTTCACCTCCCTTACGTTCATTTAAGTAGAGCTTGCAATTCAAACAAATTCCCCAAGGCTAGAGGAATTGTTCCTCTTAACATTTGCTGGTGCAGAGGTAGAGCTCTCTCAAATGCTTCCCTGGCCAGTGTAAGGACATGAAGTGAGCCGAGTCGAGAGGGACACACAGCTGTCAGCTGTTAGACAAGGCTCTGCCGTGACCAGGTGCTGGTCTGCTACCTGCTAATTCCCATCTGACCTCCCTGGCGTCCCTAGCCCAAGCCACACTATTCCTCTATATCCCCATTCCCAAGTGGTTGGGCTCATGGGATTTGGAGCCACCTGGGGCAGGAATGTCCCAGAACTGCCTGTGGGATGAGGGAATAAACAATTGTGCTGCTTTGCCTTGTTATCTGGGTCAGGAAAGGTATCTGTGAACGTGTGCTTTTTAAGCCTTTTCTAGCACCCTTGGGAGCTGCCCTCTTCTGGATAGGCGACAAGTCCCATCCAACCCCCTTGCCACAGCAGAAAGGAAGGAGAGGTGGCCTCAAAGCCTTGGGTTTGGGAATAGCTCTGGCCTAACACACAGAGCCTCATCAAAGAGATAATCTGGAAATGGTGGAGAGTCCTCAGGACCAGAGGGCCCCTGCTCTTCCCCAACCTAGGCTGTTGAATAGATGTGGGGAAATCAGCAAGAGGAGGCCCCTTCTCTATAGGATGCCTTACCCACTGCCATAGGCTGGCGTTGGGTGCTAGGCTCTGTTACTGGCCATCCAGCCCCAGTTTCGGAAATCGGGGTTGGGGCTTGCTGTGCTAGAAAGAGCCTGGAGGCAAGAGGCATGTCTGGCCTCTAGTCTGCAAAGCCCCTCTACTCTCTGGGCCTTATTTCCTTGGCTATGAAATTAGGGAGCCAGACTATCTACTTTCTAAGGTTCTTCCTGGCCCTGAATTTTCTGATATTCTGAGCTGGAGCCCAAAATGACTTGGTAGCCCCCTGTTAGCAGACTTAGAGCTGAGCCCTGGCACAAGAAGCCAAGTCTCCAGATGGAGGCACTAATTGCAGGAAGGCAAGCTGTGATGTTAGGACACCGAGTCAAGGCCGAGTTGAAAGCCTTTGGATTTCCCTAAGGAGCATCTTCGGGCAGAATGGCTGTGCTAGTAAAGGGCTTGTGTGTCCATTTTTCTGGGCAGGGCTGCCAGTGGAAGGGGGAGTAATCAGGGTGAGGCACACAGTGGAGTAATGACACTGAGGGGATTCCTGGGATATGACTGTCATTACTACCCGCATCATCATATACCCAACCAGGCCATATTGGTACAAAAGGTGTCTTTATTGAGGTCTAGGTAAGAGTTAGGCACTTGGCCAGAGCAGCAGCTTAAATATGAGGCAAGCAGGCACGGGTTAGCCATGCCCAGGGCCAGGTAGGGGCGGTGAGGCTGTAGGCACAGACTGTCCCAGATGGACAGAAGTTGGGGTGGGAAGAAGAGGGGAAAGGGGACACAGAGCAGTCTGGGTCAGAGGCCTGGTGGGCTGGCCCCGTGGGTCTGGGCAGGAAGCTCTGGGTGGCAGGTCCAGCAGGTAGGGGACTGGGCTCTCTTGCTCCATGTGCCCCTCAGGCCCAGGCCTGAGCCTCTGGCAGGGGCAGCCTGGCTGGGGGCCTTCCCTGGCTCATTTCTTCACCTTGGCATCATAGGTGCCTGCATTCTTGTAGGCACTCACATAGCCACTGTCATCCAGGATGTCCTGCCGTCCAGCAATGCCCTTGCCCTTGCCGCTCTCATCGAAACGCTCCTTGTGGGAACCGGTATACTTGCTGGTGTCAGTCAGCCGCTCCACGGCACCTCCTGTTTTCGCTTTCTGTTTAGATAGAGTTCCCCCAGGCTCATCCCTTCCCATCCACAGCCGACATCTGCGCCCCCCAACCCAGTGGCCACTCAAGATCATCAGGGCACTTACAGTGACACCCACGTTGGCTGGTTCCTTGCCTGCCACCAGCTGGCAGATGGCATCAAAGGCCTCCTCCTTGCTCTTCCCCTTGAATCGCTTGGTTGCCAGCTCTTCCAGGGCCTTTTTGAACTCCTCATAGTTGATGACTCGAGCAGACTTCCCCCTGCCAAGCATGTGGGCACCCTGAGTGTTCCCTGTTCTTCGGTTCTTCGAGCACCACCCCCGCCCCCAAGGAAGACAAAAATGCAGTCTCCAACCACCATAAATTATGCAATCAAGTTTCTTTCCCACATTTGGGGAAATCGAAGGTGTCAGCAATCTGGAATGCAATAGATAAACCTTGCCCTGGAAAAACTACCTTCATGATCATGGTATTTCTCTGGCCCCTTTTTGAGGTCCTCCCTGGTTCCAGCCCACCCATTCCCCACCTTCTGGGAACATGAGAGGCAGGGGCTGCCTGGGGCTCACTTGACTTTGGAGAAGACGATGTCGACATCGGTCCCTGTCACGGCCTTTCCATCAGCCACCTTGCAGTCCTTGCACAGCTTGGCCCAGTTCTTGCCATTCATCTCTTGCCCACTGGCCTTGGGGTCACCATGGATGGCAAACTTGCGGAAGCTCTCCTCCAGGCCAGCTATGTCTGTGCTTGCTGCCATACCACCCTGTAGGGACCCACCTTGGTCACCTCCTAGTCAAGCTGCCCCTCCCTCCCCCAGGCATAGAACATCCCTGCCTCTATCTCAAAACCTGCAAGGTCTGAGCTGGCAGCACATCTGCTACAGACAGAGTTGGAGCTGGAGCTATCTGGGGAGAGGGGCCCACACTCAGTATTTCCTGGGCCCCAGAGCCCTGAGGAAGAGCCAGGAGAGGAAAGGTCCTGTTACTATTGCCAGCCCTGGCTCTGAGTAGGGTACAGCAGATGAAATCATGATGCCCACACCAGGCTGGGAACAGAGTAGCACTGTCCAGAAAGACTGTGAGGGCAGCAGCTGGGGCCATGGCTTTGTCTGGCCCTGGCACAAGGCCTGCTTGGGTGGAAGTGAGGGTGGCAGAGAGGGCCCCCTCCCTTAAAGCTCCACACCAAGCTGGGTCAGGGCCAGGCCAGGCTGCTGGTTGAGCAGGTATTTAGTGAGGAGGACAGTGCCTCTGTAGCCAGAGCCAGCCCAGGCCTAAGAAGGGAGCCAGAGCATGGGCAGGGGTGCATGCCCTAGGCAGGGGTGCAGCTGGCCCAGCCGGGCCTTGTTACTATTTGCTGTTAAACAAAAACATGAGGGGAGCGGGAGCTTGGGGCTGGCCTGGCCACAGTTTGTGAAGCCTGGAGACAGTTGCTAAGGGAGGGTGGTGCTGCTTAGAGAATGTTGCTAAGGGCAGGATGGTGTCAGGGCGGCTCAGGGAGAAGCTCCCAGTGCTGCTGGGCTGGGCTGGGCTGGGCTGGGGAACAGGGGCCCACGGGTGGGGCACACCAGCACTCCCCACGCCTGGGGCACAACCATGGCTTCCTGGCTCCTTGCCACCTTGGGGCTGTAATCTCCCACTGTGGGGCATAGGAGAGCAGGAGGTTGGGGGCTAGCCTGAGTGGGGGCTGTAGAGTTATCAGCCCCAAGAGACATGCTGGCAAGTGGGGCTGTGGCCTTGGCGCTGGGATCTTACATTGGAGCACACTTCCCCATGTCTACACCTCAACCCTCCACTGAGGCTACACCCTGAGCACAGCCACACCAGTCCACATTCCCAGGGCCCATATGCACTCAGCCCCAGCCCTCCATACCCTGGGCCTTGTACCTCCGGCCACACCCTCAGCTCTGCCACAGCCCTAAGGCTGAAGCCCTGACCGCTCCTCTAGCATCCACCCCCCACACATGCACTAATAGGCCTGCACTGAAAACCCCAATGATACCCTCATCCCTGCACTAAAGTGCTCCTCTACCCACAGCCCTCCACCATGGTCCCCTGCCCACACCTTCAGCCCTGCATTGAAACCCCCTCTACATAACACAGCTCTGTATGTGGCCTCCCTGACCACCCCCTCAGCCCTGCACTGCAGCCCCCTCTGTCCCCACACCTGCAACCCTTACCAAGACCCCTGGCCACAGCCTCAGCAACTTGTCCCTCCACGTACCCACAGCCCTATTTCAAGGCCCCTGACCACACCCTCCTCACTGCTGCATTCACACACCCACAGCCTTTTGACCATTTAGCCCCGCACTGCAGACCCTGTCCGTGTCCACATCCACACACGGGCACACACTGCCATTACCAGTCTCCCAGGTATTATGCTGAGACACCCACAACAACACCCTCTCTTCCACTGCAGCCTCCTGCCCACACCCTCAGTCTCAGCAACCACCTTCTAGCTCTGCCTTTTATCCTAGAATCTCCACTGACCACAGACTGGGCCCTGCCTGGCTACCCCCTCTTCCATTACCACTGGCCTTGACACTGAAAAATTCCTCCCAGTGACCACACTCAACCCATCCCTCAGTTGCAGTTTCTAGGACTGTGAGCACCCATAGCTCCCATGTTACAGGGACCTCTGTGGGACCACAACCTCAGTTCACAGTGCACTCCCCTACATGCAACCTCCCACCAGGGACCCGAAGACCCAGTGGGACCCAAAGACGGCGCACTTGGTTCACCAAGGGTAATGTCCAGGGGAGCCTGGGTGTCACAGGATGCTTATCGCAAGCAACTGGAAGGATTCCCCGTCCAGTGCTCACTCAGTCTGTAGGAAGATGGATTGCTGGTAATCTCAGGGCTGGTCAGGTGGAGCCAGACCTCAGGCCGAAGCCCCAGGGGTCTGCAGGCCACGGATGGAGTGGCCACGCCCTTGAGCTGGGGCCATCGGCCCCGCGCTCCCGCTGGGACAGCTGGAGTCATCAATCAGCGGGACAAGGAGGTGGGGGCTGGGGGGTGGAATGCTTGGGGCCAGGGCAGGGCAGCTCAGCTGGTGCATTGGGGTTGGGACCCCTTCCAGGCCACTCCTCCCGCCCCCTTATCGTGCAGGATACTCATTAAGGTGGTCGGTGTCCTGGTCTCCAACGGACTTCTACCTCGTGGCTGCTCCTGCAGGGCGCGTTCGGATGGACAGAAGGACACAGGAATGGACCGATGGACGCGGGAGACTAGGCGGCTCCGCAGCTCCGCTCCCTGCCGGCTCCGGGGCGGGACTGCAGCCCGGGCGGCTCCGCTGTATTATCCCCTGTTTCTCGGTCTCCATAGAGACGGTGAGTCCCACCCCCGAGGCTGTCTCGACGGGAGAATGACCAAGGTCACGCTGGCCCCGCCCACCAGACCCCGCCCTCTCCGCGCTCTGCGGGGGCGGAGCTGCAGTGACAGCCTTATCCCACCACCTCCCCCGCAGCTCCGGGGTCTTTGCTGCGGGGAGACCAGCCCTCTGCAATTCTGGACGTTCTCCAAACAGCCCCCCATCCTGAGCTCTGTCCAAAGATCAAAGCGGGCCCCCAGTCTCCAGGGGAGATCCAGGTTCCCTGAGCGCCAGACGGGGTGCTGGAGCAGGGGGATGGAGAGGGACGGGAAAGTCCCTTTCCTCAGTGACAAGGGTCAACAGTTGGCTCAAGACCACAGCTATCCGCTGAACGTGTGGCATCCCCAGGCCACAACTCCCGAGTTCTCCTGGGTAGGGTCCAGAGGCCGGAGCACTGGGGAAAGAAGGGACAATGAGCGAATCAGGCCTGCCCGGCCTGGAATGCTGGTACTCTGACGGCGATCCCGCTGCGGAGACAAAAACTCCTGGACCTCCGCGGTCGTCCCCTCCTTTCATTGCCACCTCTACTCGTTCTCTGTCTCACGGCCTCTGCTACCGCTGCTGCCTCCGGAGTCCAAAGACTGTTTTCCCTCAATCTCTACGTGCAAAGCCTATCTTTAAGAAAAATTACCTCCTCCAGGCAGCCTTCCAAGCCCTTTCCTAACCATGAGCCCGGTACCTGAGCGCCTCGGTTCCCTCCCCACCCCCTTATTTCCATATGACACCAACAGTACAAGGTCCCACCCACCCCCGCCCCCAGGCTGACTGGCAGTGGTCTGGCTCCCCAAGGGCCTATGGACTCTGCCACTGAGAAAGTAAACACTAAGTCCGCAAAAGCGTAAAAAAGTTTATTGGAGCATCTTGGCCGGTGGGGCGGGTATTGCTGAGTCAAGGGGAAGGGAGGCCGATCCCGCCGGCCATAGGGGCCCCTAAAGTGCACTCTGTGTGGCGAGGGTGGGGTGTTGCATAGAGAGTCGGGCCGGCCGCTCCTCCTCGGCCCTCCTGCCTCTTGGCCCAACTAAGCCAGGCGGGCCTCCCGGCCTCCCCGCGCTCCGGGCTCGCCGCTGCTCCGGCTCACGAAAACGGCGGGCGCACGCGCCTGCGGCGCCAGCCTGGGCTCCCGGCCCTTGCCCCCCGGGGCGGCCAGAGCGGCGCTGCCCAGGCGCGTCTGCGCCACTGGAATCTCGTCCATGGACTCGGCTGACGCCGAGTGGTAGGCGCCGGCACGGCCAGCGGAGTGCATGGGGCTGGCGCCCTCGGAATCCATCGACGAGCTGGAGCTGTGGCCGGGGGCCCCGGGCTCTGTGCACAGGAGGACAACGTGAGACCAGGGGTTGCGACTCGGGGCTCTATTTTTCCCTCCCTCGGAGTTCCCCGAGCAAGACCCGGACAGGAAGGGGCGCTCACCCCGCAGCCTGGGCAGCGGGGACGCCCGGTCCAAGGTCTCAGCTCTTGGAACCTTATACATGCGCAGCTTCCTCTTTTTCTGCAGAGACATAGGGGAAACTGAGGCCCCCACATCGCCAAAGAAGCAGCAGTGCGTGGCAGAATAGAGGCTTCTTTTCCACCCCCCTCCAACTAGACAGGGGGCCCAGCACAGTCCCTTCTACCTGGGGTCGGATCTCGGGAGGCAGGGCGACAGTGTCTGGGGAGGAGGGCGGTGGAGGCTCCCCTTGGCCGCTGGTAGCAAGAAGCTGGGAGGGTCTGAGGGGAAAGCAGGAGGGTCGGCCTGAGCGCTGCTTGCCAAACCCTCTGGCTGGAGGTCAAGAGCCTCCCTCCCTAACAGAGGAGAGGGGCATTCATCTATCCAAGGTCAGGCTGGGATGGACCCAGACCCCATGCCTTGGTCTTGACCTACCCCTTTTCTCCCACCTGGGATGGGCTACCATACTAATAGGAGATGCCAAGTCCAACTCACTTGGCATTCACTGCCGCTGGCCTGGTCTGGCCGGGGGCCTCTGGGCGCACATGGCTGAAGGTCCGCATGTAGAACTCCGTCTCCTGGGGAAGGTGGGAGTCAGGGAGGCTGGGAGACCAGGTGTAGATCCAGGGCCTCCTGAGTCCTGAGCTCACCCAGTCCTGAATACAACCCACCCTCACTGGCCTCTGTGTGACAGTGTAGACTTCACGGCCCAGGGGTCTAGGGCCGTCCTCCTAGTCCCCAGCTGTGCTGGGAAAACCCTCTGCAGGGTGAGACTTAAAATACCCATTTCTGGATGTTACCGTCCCCCAGCTTTCATTTCATCTAGTAAAACTCCACCTCCTCCAGGAAGGCTCCAGCCCTATGAGTCTATACACCCAGTCTAGAGGTGCTCAGCCAAGGATGGTGGTGGGGAAGCTCAGGGATGCCCTCTCCTGCTCCTGTCCCCTCTAAGGGCTCCAGCCTCTGAATCGATTTTTTCCCTGAGAGCTGAGGCAGCAGTTCACAGGCAAGATTGCATGCATGGCTCCCTGGCTCCCAAGGAGCTGAATCCTGGGCACGCCCTCCTCACCTATACAGAGCGCCAGCCCCAACCCGGCGGCTGAGAAGGTGAGGGGTGGGGGGGTACGTTCTCCCCTGCCTGCACGCCCCCACCCACAAAAGGACAGGCAGTGGGTGGGGGAATGAACTACAATCCGGGATCAGGCTTATGGGTGAACTATGACTAGCTTAGTCACTGATCCTCACAGCAACCCTGGAGGTGGCAGACAAGACCCCAAAAGTGAAGGGCCTTGAGGCCAGGAGGTCGCAGGAGCGGCCCAGGCCTGCATCCTAGCACGCAGGACACACCCCAGCCCAGCCCCACCCGAGAAGGCTGCAGGTGAGGAAACAAAAGCCAAGGCAGAGCCAGCCTGGGAAGGGTGATGGGCGTGGTGTGGGATGTGGGTGGGGCACAGCCTGGAGCAGAGAGCACTCGGACAGCTGTCACCAGCTCCAGCAGCAGTTTCCATGGAGACTGAGGCGTCCTGACTAATGCAGAGACGACACTGTAACAGCAAACGCTGTCTCTAAAACAAGCCTATGTTTGGGGGCAACGGCTCCAGAGAGGGGCCCCTCCCGCATTCCTGCTTGGGTTGGGGGTGGGGCAGCTGCCTGCAGGGGCCCTGGTAGATCTGGGGGACACAGCCCAACCAGCCACCCCTGCCCAAACTCTGCCCAGGCTGACCCTTTGGGGAGGGGTGTGGGAGTGCTGGCCTGAGCAGTAGAGCACAGGTTCAGGGGTCTCAGGCCAATCACAGGGACTGGGACCTCAAGGTAACCCTGCCCCACATCCTTTCCCTTCCCCAGTGTGGACTCAGCACCCCTCCAGGGCCCAGCAGAGGGGCAAAGCCTACCCTGAGGACCCTGCACTCTGGAGCGTGGGGCAGAGAAGGGGCTAGCAGTAGAGGATGGTCCCAGAAGACTGAGGGGCCACAGTGGGACAGGAGCCAGGCCCTAGCCAGCTGGGGAAGTCTGAGTGTCACCAGGCAGTCCTCACTCAGGCCCCCCTCCTCTCATCAGAGCTGTTCCTAGAATCCTTCCACAGAGACCTTCAAACATGTGCACATTCCTGAATGGTGCAGGGGTACCTCTCAGCCTCAGCTCTCTCCTCTGTAAAGGGGGATAGGCATACCACTCCTACCCCCAGTAGGACTCCCTCACATCATTTGTAGATGGACAGAACAGAAATTGAATGTCTTTGCTGCTGCCACATTTGGACCAAAAGACTAAGCAAAGCAGAGGCACAGAGCCCTGGAGTCTGGACGTCCCAGGGCTAGCCCTGCCTCAGTGGGTATCCAGCTACAAATCTCCTGCCTGCTTCTCCTGCCTTAATCCTCTCTGTGATGATGTCCACTCCCCAGGATGGCTGCCACTGTGTTCACACAGGCTAGTGCCCAGCACGAGGGCAGGTAAGCAGTGGTGTGGCAGAGGGGTCTCCACCAACAGCTAGCATGCCCTTGGCTCAGGCCTGCCCAGTCCTGGCAGCCTGGTCCAGCCTCAGCCATGAAAACAGAAGAGGCGAGTCCCAAGCCCTCCCCGAACCCGCCCACCAGCCTGTGTTTGTGTCCAGTTGCCATGAAGATTCAGGATCTAGGGCTCAGCCTTTCCAGTCCCTAGGGGCTCTGAGGACTGGACCACCCCACCCCCAGCTGCTGACCTCAGGAAGCCACAGGGCGTGGGAATGGGGGTGGGCTGGTCAGCAGCTGGGCTGATTGGGCTGGAGCACTCCTGCTTCAGGGTGAAAAGACCTGAAATCCCCCAGACCCAGCTTCTATTTAACCTTTCTCAGCCTCAGTATGCTCATCTGCAACATGGGTGTGGTAATAGTACCTGCCTTATGGACTGTTCTAAGGATAAAACGGTAATGGGTATGAGGGCTCAAGGTCACAGATGGAAAGAACTGGCCACTGTCCCAGTCCTGGCTGCAGTCCCGGTCACTGGTCCATCCCTCTCCTCCTGCAGCTCCAAGCTGCCTGCTTCCAGGCTCCCATGTTCCACACCCTCCAGCACATGCTTGGAGCTGGGACAGGCGTGTACACAGGGTCAGGGAAACGCAGAGCTCCCTCTGGCTGCACCCACACTTGAGCAAACAGGCACGTGCTCAGTACAGACTTGGCCCCAGCTGCCCCCAGCATCCCTCCTCCAGTGGCAATCCCAGGCTGGCTTCCCATGCCCTGCCTCCTCACTGCTGCTTCCTACACAGCCCCCATGCCCCAGCCCCATTTCCCACCCCTCAGCCCTCTGGGCCACCTCTATACCTTAATGGAACGCATCCTGGGAGGGCATGACTCGAGCTCCCTGTGGGCCCCCTTTGCCTCCTGTGGTGGGCGGTGCTGCACGATGTACTCATAGGTGGTGAGCTTGTGCCACACTGGGGGGTGGGAGGGAGAAGAGGGCTCAGTGCAGTGGAGAGGGGACCCTGGGGTGCAGGAGGGCACCCAGCCCCAGGCTGAAGCCAGTGTCCCCAAATACACTAAGTCCTGGGGTGAGACCAGGCCATCAGAGAGAGAGCAGTAAGAAGAGCCATGGTTTCAGGGCTCTACAGCCCAACTAGGTACCTCCCTGCAGCCTAGGAACCTCTATCCCCTGCAAGGCAGGGCGGGGGGCACTTACTGAGATAAATGTGGAAGCAGAGCAGGTGGCCCAGCAGGGCTGTGGAGAGCAGGCCCAGAAGGATGAGGAGGGCAGCCAGGGCCAGGATGGCAGGAGCCTGGGTCTCCACAGGGGCAGCAGGCAGGAACACGAACCACACATCTGTGTGATTCTTCAGGACTGCAAGGCACAGGCAGAGTGTGACCACCCAGGGTTGTGACCAGTGACCAGAACAGGCCCAGTGTCAGAGGATAGGAATGGAGCCCAAACTGACCTTCAAAGTGTCGATTGGTACGTAGCCTCATGGGGTTGACAAAGAACTCCACGAAGACATAAGCGGCCACCAGCACCAGGAGCAGGACACCCAGTAAAGCGGATGCTACACTGTGTAGAAAGAGCCTGGGCCCAACCGTGGGAGGCTGTCAGCACCCGCGTGCTCCAGCTTGGGAAGGGCCAGGAGCTCAGAAAGCCTCATGGCTGGGAGAGGAGCTGGGCGTCTAGCCCACAGCCCCAACTCCTCAGAAGCCAAAGGCAGGAGGCAAACTGAAGATTGGGGGGCCACTTAATCGGATGCCCACCTTTCTCTGGGCCAGCAAGGTGGAAGACCCCAAACCCACCCTCAGCCGTCCCAGCCAGCACTCCAAGAGCATCACTGTATCAGAGCAGCACCCCAGGGGCACACCAGAGCACAGGTCCTCAAAGCACCCCAGCCAGGCGCTGCCTTCCGCGGGCTACAAGGGCCCTGCCCGCCCCCCGGGCACGTGACCCCAGGACCCCGTGCGGCCCGGCCCCGCTCTCACCGGTAGTTCCTCTCGCCCACGCAGTTGTTGAGCCATTTGCAGTGGTGGTCGAAGCCGCATACGCACTTGTTGCAGGCGCTGCAGTGCTTGGAGCGGGCGCTCCTGCGGGCGAGGGGCACAGCGGGGTCGGCGGGCGCATTCAGCCACACCAAGGAGCGCGTGCGCCCCCTGCAGGCACTGCGCGGTGGGACCCTGGGAGGAAGCGGCGCTTCCGAAGAGCTGGGGGAGCCCGAGGAGTGGGGGTGCACTGTGCTGTCTTGCTCTGGGACTGCACACCCAGGTGATGATGGTATGAAACGGAAAAAGGGCTTCCTTCCCAAGCAAGGACCCCTGCGACAAGCCAGAAGATGCAGGTGTGGGGCCAGGGAGCAGGAGAACAAGGCTGCCGGGACCATGGCCTCTATTGCTCTTCCTGACATCTCCATTTCTGGGTCCCTGTTTCCCTGCCATTCCATGGGAATTTTCCGGGCATTATTCCACAAAACATTCTGTGTGGACTAATCAACAGGGAGCCACAGAAGAGAAGCAAGCTGCCATCTGGGTGGGCACTAAGGCAGCTGGCTGCAGGGGGCCAGCTGAAGGGCAGCCACACTAAGACACAAGTGAGAATCTCCCAACCTGGGGAGGCCCAAAGGAGTGGGGAGGAGTGGGGCACGACCCCCTCCCCAGAAAAGGACAGAGTCCTGCAATGGGCACCAACCACCAGAGCAGCCAAAAGAGACAGCATGCTCACTGACACCTAGAGAATGGCAGGATGGCCTCATGCCCAAGTCCTTAGTGCCTTAACACTGTGGGCTTTCTAATTCCTGTGGACAGACCCCCTTCCACAGGCTGCCTGGGTCTTCAGATTTGAAGTGTGGCTCTGGTCTTGAACTACACCTGAGGCCGGGAGACTGGGAAGCTCCAGAGGGTGGGGAGGGCCCCCACAGAGGCAGTTGGGACCAGCCAAGCGGGTATGGGTGCTCCACATTCTGACTCCTCTCCTCAACAGCAGTGTGACCTGGGGCAAATCACTTGGCCTCTGTTGGCCTCAGATGGCTCATGAGTAATGAGCAGATGGTGTCTGCTTAGGGGCCAGGCAGCCTGGGCTGTGAATCTGGCTCTGGTGGCAGTAGCTGTGCAGAACTTCAGGCAGGCCTCTCAGCCTTTCTGAACGCTGGGCTCTTCCTCCTCTGTGAAGTGAGAAGATGCTGCCCACCTTGCAGAAAGGCTGTGCATGGTGCTTAGCCACACGGTAGGTATGTAAGCATTAACTCTCCTCCCCTCCCCATGTGGGAATGCTTGTGAGAGATGGGGGGGTGCTATTGGAAGAGTTAGTCCCTAGAAATGTTTGTGGCAGTGCCAAATGTTTCCTACTTTTACCTGTTGGAACCCTATTCCTCATCTTCTGTTTCCAATAATCCAATCACCTCCTTCTCCTCACCTTCTCAAAGACCCAATTATCTGCCACTCCAACAGATTCTTTTTTTTTTAGACAGGGTCTCCCTCTGTTGCCTAGGCTACAGTGCAGTGGCACCATCACTGCAGCCTCGAACTCCAGGGCTCAAGCGATTCTCCTGCTTCAGCTTCCCAAGTAGCTGAGATTGCAGGTGTGTGTGACCATGCCAGGCTAAATTTTTTCTTTTCTTTCTTTTTTTTTTTTTTTTTTTTTGACGAGATCTCACTATGTTGCTCAGGCTGGTCTTCAACTCCTGGCCTTAAGTGATCCTCCTGCCTCAGCCTTACAAAGTGCTAGGATTACAGGTGTGAATCACTAGGTCCAACCAAGATTTTTTTTTTTTTTTTTTTGAGACAGTCTCGCTTTGTTGCCCAGGCTAGAGTAAGTGCCGTGGCGTCAGCCTAGCTCACAGCAACCTCAAACTCTGGGCTCAAGCAATCCTGCTGCCTCAGCCTCCCAAGTAGCTGGGACTACAGGCATGCACCACAATGCCCGGCTAATTTTTTCTATATATATATTAGTTGGCCAATTAATTTCTCTCTATTTATAGTAGAGACGGGGTCTCGCTCTTGCTCAGGCTGGTTTTGAACTTCTGACCTTGAGCAATCCACCCGCCTCGGCCTCCCAGAGTGCTAGGATTACAGGTGTGAGCCACCGCACCCGGCCCCAGCCAAGATTCTTAACTGCATAAAACACTAGGGTTCTGAAGCATCAGGATAACTGTGAAGCTCTAGCATGCCCCTCTGCCCTGCACCCCCTCCCCACCCCCGCAGGCCATCCCCAGGCATACTCAACACCCAAATGTACCCACACCCACACACTCGCACGCACTCACACATCCACATCACACAGGTTGCAGTGCAGGTCTTCAATGACGTGAGCGTGTTGGCTGCGGTTGAAGATGGGTAGGGGCCCTGCATAGCTCTTGTCCCGAACATTGGCATCTGCTGGATCGATGGAGACGGCGGTCAGGTGCACCACGAGGTGGCCAGCAAAGATGGCGCCCATGCACTGGCCCAGCAGGTTAAAGACTCACTTTACACTCTGCTGGCTGGGAACCACGCCCCACTCCCTGTGGCCAGGGAACTTCTCCACCTCTATGCCAACTCCCCTTGAGCAGAGATTCTCTGCCTGTGCCACCTCCCGCCTCCAGCCCCACAGAGCCTCCTTATCAGACCTCTGCAGTGGACCCCTGTGCCCCTAAATGGGAGAGGAGATGGGCCAATCTGGTAATGGGGCCCACAGCTAACACTGCCTGCTGCTGCCACCTAGGGGCCCAAGCACAGGGCCTCACTGCTCCAGGCCCAGCACAGGCCCTGGCTAGTCTGACCTTAAGCCAGCTTCTGGTTTCAGATTCATGGTGATGTGAGACTGACAGAGACCATCCCCTAAGGTCCAGGGACCTAAAGGTTAAGTTGTGAGCTTGCTTATCTTGCTTTCACAGAAAGTCGGCTCTGGGAGTGCAGCAGCCAGGCCAGATGGACAATCCCTTGCTGACAAGGGCTCATACACTCACTGCCTCCCCTGCCAGAGTCCAGGCACCTGCAGCCCCGGGCTGCGCGTCTGGGATGGCCTGCCATGCCAGGGCGCAGGGCGGCATGGCTAATTCCTGGAGCTGAAACGCAGCTCTTCCAGGGCCTACCTGCTCAGTGATTGGGCCAAACGCAGGAGACGAGTACGCTGACAACTTGCTGCAAAGTCTGCATGTGTAAAAACTCACCAGTAGAGTCCACCCAGGAGGTCAGCCACCCTCCCTCCCTCCCTCCACCTCCCTCCTCCATCTGTGCCCTCGCCAGCCAGGCAGACGTCATCTCTCCATCCTCCATTCTTCATCCATCCGCTGTCCAACCTCCTTTCCTCCCTTCCGCCTACTCCCAGCAACCAAACTTCCCACATGTCCGCATGAGCCAGGTTCTGCCCTGATGTGCTTCTCCACAGCTGAGAGATGATCCTATGGCTGTCACTGACCTATCTGTACGGTCACTGCTATGGTCAGTTCTTCATCTGTTGCCTGGGTCACTCCATAATCTCCTGACCTGTGTTCCCTTAAGAGTACCCTTCACATGGTCACAAAGTGAGCTTGTTAAAAGCTTAAAGCTAAAGCCCTCCCTGTTTAAACCCTACAATGGCTCTCAATGGCTCTCCAGCTGAAGTTCACTCCTCAGCCCAGAGCCAAGTTCTCTTTTGTTCTGGCTCTTTCCAAACCTCAGGTATCGCCAGCTACTGTGCCTGCCCAGTCCAGCCTCTTGCCAGACACACGGAATGAGAGCAAACATTGAGCTTCCCACTTGCTCCCACACTTCCCTGGCTCCACCCCTGGTTCATTCATTCAGCTGTTTACTGAGGTCTTTCTCTGGGCCAGACACTGAGGGATATGACAGGGGCAAGACAGACTTGTCCCTATCCCCGAGGAGACAACAGTCTTGTGGAAAACAAAGATACTGATGAAATACTGGGATCATTAATTAATACAATGAAGAAAGTCCAAGGGACTATACTATGCCAGTTTGTCACCGAGTGACCTCATATAGTCTGAAGGGGGCTCCGGAAGGCCTAAGTGAGGAAGTAGCACCTCAGCTGAGGCTTGCAGAAGGGACAATGGCGAACTGGCAGGTAAAGAAAAGAGGAAAGGGGGCCTGGCTGGGGACTGTGCTGGTCAGAGGTGTGGCTGGAGTGTGGTTCCAGCTCAGGGATGACATGCAAGAATGAGGGCCCACGTTGCCAAATTCTAGCTCCTCAAAGGAACCAGAAATCTGGGTTTTTATGTGAGATCTCTCAATGTTTAAATGTTAAGGAAATAATTTTTAAAACACACCTACAGAAGGACCACAAGATCTGTACATTTTGTATGATAATTATATCTCAATTTTTGAAAAATCTGCAGGCCACATTAGCCCACAGGCTGCCAGTTCTTGACCTTGGCCTCAGCTGGGTGTTGGGGGCAGGGAGAGAGGCAAGGGGCCTCCAGACAGACACCAGTGTTGGTGAAAGAGAACAGGGGACACAGTAAACAGAAGAAACTGGGGAGGCAGACAAGGTCCACAACATGAAGAGTCTTGAAGGCCATGGAAAGATCTTGAACCTAATTCCTTCAGGCAGGAAGAAGCCATTAAAGGCTCTGAGCTGGGGAGCACGAGCCTAGGGCTGTGCGGTCCGCAGCAGGCTCACGTTCATGGTTTATGTCCTCTGGTGCTCACACACACTCTAACATGCTCCTCGCCCTCTCGCCCCAGGAGGCAGGCAGGCCCCTTCCTGTCAGACAGAGGGACTGATCAGGGACCAAGGCTTTCAAGTTCGTCCCTGCCAACCACCTTAGGTGACTCTTGCCACCTTCCCCCCAGAATTCACCTCTGAAGTGTACACACCAGGACACTCTCACAGGGGAGAGTGGACAGGGGCACCTCTATCCCCTGGTCTTCCAGCCACGTCCTCTGCTCCTGGGGGCTGTGGCCAGGGCTGAGGCAACCACACCACTGGGATCAGGCAAGTCCATGTTTGTCACTGTTCCCAGGAGCCTTCAGGGCATCTCTATCCAGCCTCTTGTCACATTCAATCTCATCCTGAAAGGGTTTGCTTTACAAAACCAATGCCCTCGTAAACAGTCCTGGGCACAACATAATAATCTGTCTATAAATAAAAACCACATTTTAAATGTACCGGAAAACTTACTACATAAAAGAATTCTATGGTGACTCTTTCTGAAAAGTGAAAAATTCTCTCCTAAATGGAATAATCATTCCCTAATTTGTTCTTTGTTTAACTTGGAACACAATTAGCCTAAAGATGGTTCTAAGGCTGTCGTCTTCTGTGGTCACTCCTGTGGGACCTCAGTGGATAAGATTCCCATCTGTGTGGGGCTTTAAACGCTCCAAGGTACTTTGGGTCTGTCCGCTCACCCTGTCAGGTGGAGGGGCCAGATGGGGACTGGAGGCCAGGCAGGTGAGCAGCTGGTCCCTAGGACTGGGCCCACCTTGCTTTGCCCAACCTGTGTTCCCTGAGGCTCTGAACCCAGCTGTGGGCCTTTGCCATGTCTGTCCATGCACGTCCCTGCATAAGCCCCACACTTTCCCAAGGATACAGCGTAGCCAGCAGGCACCCAGTGGTGAGGCAGCAGGGGAACAAGGATCCCAAAGCCGATCACAGCGAAGAAGAGGTACAACAGCCAGGCCACAATCTGGAGTGGGTGAGGGGGCCAGCTCCACCCATTGCGGCGGGATCGCTGGCCGGGCAGCTCCAGGGAGGGTCCGCTGGCCTGCTCGGGCGCTGTCCACACGCTCTTCTCAGGAGCCGTCTTATTGGAGGGCTTGTTGCAGATGTTCATCTCCAGAGGGAGAAAGAGCGGTGACAGCATTGTCCGCAGAAGGCCCTGCTAGAGCCCAGGGCCCCCCTGCAGCCAGGTTTTAGCATGGGGGGTAGCAGGCTGGGACTGGAACCCAACACCAAGCTACTCTGCAGGGGAACCTGGGGTTCTAGCATGACAGAGATGGGCAGTGGGGGAGGGTGGGAGTGGGGTGCTGTCTCAACGCCCAAGAGCAAACTCTGGCTCCAGCCTGGCCAGGACAAAGTAGGAGGGCCCAGGGTTTATTCAGGACACAGTGTGGCTGCCTGTTACTCTATAGCCATCAGAGTTAAACCCAATAAGACATGTTCTCATCTGGTAACAATATCAGGCTGGAGCCAGAGCGATGAGAACACATGCTGATTCTGTTAGTATTAGTCACCTCTGTCCTGAGGTCCAAATGCAAGTGTCACAGAGGGCCCCGTATCGTTTGCTAAGGGAAACAGGAAGTGGGGGTGCTCAGAAAAGGGTATACCTCTGCCCTTCAGCAGACACGGAATTCCTTTAGGACTGGGGGACCCTGAATCTCTGCCCCACATCTCAGAAAGGCTGCTTGGGGCTTCCTGGCTGGGGAGGAGCCAGCACACATGAGAGGGAAGGATTCCTCCTTGCTTCCCTCCAGCACCAGAAAGGACCACGGCTTTCTAAGTAAACCTGGGCCTGTGCACAGATTTACCTGGAAAGGTGGGCTGATGTCCTCTGACCCACTTAAGGAAGCTCAGGGCTAGGCCAGGCCTCTGTCAGAGCCAGATCACCAGATAGCAACACCCTCCACTTGCCCCCTTTAGCCCAATAACTGGCCTGGTGGCCAAAGATAAATACAGGGCAGGACCGGGTGAGCTTGTTGTAACAAGAGGGAAACCTCCCCACCTCCCCTCGCCAGTATTATCTGGGCCCAAGACAGGACTACAGCTGAGGCAGGCAGTGTCACACCTGAGGAGACACTTGGTGGGAAGGCCAGGAGCTGAGACAAAACCCTGGTAGCTGGACTTTCCTTTTTGAAGCCCCTGTCCATGGGCCAGGGAATGTGACTAAGCAAAAATGGTGTGGCAGACACCCCCCTGAGCACATCTGCCTGTAACAGCCTTCACACTCAACACTCCCAGCCCAACAAAATGAGACTTGATCATCAGAGCCAACCACAAGAGTCCCCACATCCAGGAAGCTCTCCCCAACATCCCAAGTGGAGTCAGGGGACCCTCGTGCTCAATCCTTATTGGGCAAGTCACTTTGTCATTTGGAACACTTGGCCATCCCTATATCCACTCCCCTGTTATGACAGCTTCCCCCAAAGGAAGCAAATATGCCGTGATTCATTCTCCTCTGACCCCCACATACCCTCACCCAAGCACCCAGAATTGTACCTTGTACATAGTAGATGCTCAGTAAACATTTGCTGACTTGAAAACATCTGAAATAAAAGGAAATGTGGGCACAGTAATGGAGGGGAATCTTGGCCCCACTCGCCCTACCTTCAGTCCTCCCAGCCTGCCCCCCGCCTGCACAGCCATCATGCACAAACCCCTCCCTGAGCCCAGCTCCCTGTGCTGACTGGCTATCACCCTGACTGCTAGACAGTCACTCTTAGCTACTCTGTCCTTCGGTCCACCAGAGGCTCAGAGGCTCCTGCAAGCCAAGCTGGCATTATTTGAAGTCAGCTCTGAGAAGTCTCAAAGCTAAACTGAGTGATCTTAGTTTTCTCCCAGGGATTCAAATGGAATCCTTTGGTCACTTACCTTGTCTTCAATAAGATGCCACAAAAGGGAAAAAAAAAAAAAAAACAGCTTTGGAGGTAATAGTTGTAGGTTTACTTCTTAGTTCTGTACTTTCTAGCTGAGTGGCCTGAGTTTCCTCATCTGAAAACTGGAGGTGGGGATGCCTCTGTAGGACGGTGTACAGATCAGCAACACTGTGGGTAAATTCTTCACACAGAAATGCTCACTGTGTGCTAGATGTTATTGTTACCCTTAACTAGCTCTCTGGTTTGCCTTCAGATCTCCCGACTGAAGCTGCTTCACCTGATAGTCTCCGAGGTTTATGCTCAAAGTGATGGGGTTGGCTGCAGTTGCTTTCTTAAATCAGTGGCCCTGAGGAACACACTATCATAAGAGGTAAGCCATTGGATTGTCATTCTAATCTTGTCATCTCTGATCAAAGGTGACAAAGGTGGTCAATAAGCTGGCATCACTTTCTTTTGAATGTCCCCAGAGGTAGCAAATCTTGGTCCTTGATTTTTGGAAACAGTAAAAGGTCATTAGGTCAAGCCCTGTGAATACAGTCTTGCTGGGTGGTTCTGCTCTGGGGCATATCCTTGGGGCTGAGCAGCAACTCTCCTGTCCATACCATACCATCACCAAGGCAACTGCATTGAAGAGAATCCATGACTTTGAATCCCTAAATTGTGGCTTTCTCTTTGCCATCCCCAAAGCTGAACAACCTGAGGCTTGTGGCTGATGTGTCCCCACTGCCTAGCAGTGGCCACAGGCAACTCCAGTGCTGTTGCATCCCCGACTCCTGAGGCAGGAGGAGTTACTACCTGAAGCCAGGGGCCTGCCACCAATAGCCCTGGGAACAGTTCTGACCCCAAATCAGGTTACCTTTGGCCCAGAGAGGTACCACTTGCCTCAGACTGATGTGGGGATGGTGCTGTCGGGCAGAACTCCCTCACAGCAGCAGCAGCAGCGGCAGCAATCTGGAATAGACACCCAAGCTGGCCACGAGGCATGCCGCCTGCCCCAAAAACCTGGGCCAGCCAACTCTTGACCAATAACATTGCCTCTTGCACAGTTGGTGGCCATACATTCCTTTAGCCCAAAAGATTTTGATTAAAAGGGCTGGGAGGTCGGAGAGAATCCAAGGTGGGGCCCCAAGGCCTAGGGATGGAACCAAGCACTGTCACCAGACCCAGGGACTTCTCTGACTGTTCCTCTCCTCTCAGCACTTCTTCCTCTAGGAGACCGGATTGAAAGATGTGTGGCTCTGCTCCCCAACAACACGGCCAGCTGGCACATGCAGATACTGGCCAGTCAGCACTTACTGTGGCCCAGCCTGTGTGCACTGAGGGTGTAAACGCAGTTGCGACCCAGCACCTGCCCTCGGAGGCTTCCTCTCTGGGGACCCAGAGAGACACAGACAGACATCAGCGTGGTGGGTGAATGGGCATTCTGGCAGCCCATGCCAGGGCCAGCCATTCAGTGTGACAGAACACAGGGTGGACTGGATGGCGGTGGAGGGAGGGGTTGTAGAGGGGAGGGCCTGGTGAGAAATGAGCCCTGAGGAGCTGCAGGACCCAGATCACAGGGGACCTAGGCCAGGTGGGGAAGCATGGGCCCTGCTGAAAGAGCCGCAGGGAGTCAAAGGAGGTTAAACTAGGAGAGTGGCAAAATGGTGAGGGGTGTTTTGGAAAGCTTTCTAACCATATAGGATAGAACTCGACAGGGGAGATGACAGCACAGCAAGCTGGTCCAGGGAGGCCAGCAGCCAGCAGCCCTGTGCTTTGGGAGAAGGTGGTCAGCAGGTGGGGATCAAACCTGCAAGCTCCCCCTGCCCACCTGGCACCCCCGGCTGCATCTGTGTTGGCTGAGAGGTCCATGGGCCTTGGTAAAACATTCTCCATGTACCTTCTGCTTCCACAGAACAAACCCTAGAGAGTTAGGCTGGCAGGGATAAAAGGAAGTGTTATGGCCACAGGTAGCTGCCACCCGGGTAAGACAAGGACACACCCGGCTTCTGAGGCAGGCTGGAGGGGCTGTGCAGGCCCTTTCCTTGTCCCCACAAGGTGAAAGCCATTACCAGGATGACAATAATGTATTTCCATGAACATTCACTTGGTAAAAGCCTCAAACAATGTTTTCAAAACAAGATTAGGCTACCTTAATTTACATACTAAAGTTAAATGAGGGAAATCTTAACATTTTACATTCTCGTTATGAACTGTAGGATGGTTACATGAATGATCTGCTTCCCTCCTGCCCACCTCTGCTCCTACCAACAAAAATATTTAGGCATGTTGTTCTGAAATTCATATATGACACTGTCAAAGGAACCAGGCTGAGGGGGAAGGTCCCAGCCTGGAGAGACTGTGGGCATTCCTGGATTCCAGCAGGGTGTGTGAGGACGTCACACGTCAGAATTTATTACACTAATGAGGGTTTGTTGGGGGAGGCTAAGGACTTGGGAGTCTAGGGGGATGGGGCCAGAGAAGAAGATGACTAGGCTGAAGCAGAGGCTTGGAGGGTCCAGAGCCACCAATGGGGAGAAGCAGGCTGGACCAAGGAAAAAGGCCCAGGCCTGGAGACAGAGCCTTTTTCTGGTTCTTGCACTGCCACTCACACACTGAGGAACCTGGGGACAGATGTCATCCATCCTCCTCTTTGCATCTCTTATGTGCTCATCTTTCAAAAAAGTCAGACAGAAGGCAATTTGGCAATGTCTACCAAACTTTAGAACACATATTGTACCTTTTGGCCCAGACATTCCATTTCTGGGTGTTTATCTTATACATGTATATACTCTCAAAATACACAAAGATTCATTGCAATGTTGTTTGTAGTAGTAAAGGACAAAAAACAATATAAACAAACTATGGCACATCCACACAGTGGAATGCTATGGAAAATCAAAAACAAGGGATTAATAAAAAGGGATGAAATGATCTTTGACACACAATTAAGTAAAAAAGCAAGACATAGAACAGTTGTAAAGGGAGCTACCAAGTGAAAAAAAATGAAGGGGATTAATAAACATTTATGTTCCTATATGTACAGACTCTCTGGAAGGAAATGCTAGGAACCAAACACAGGGGCATCCTCTGGGAAGAGGTCTAGGCCTGAGGACTATAAACCAGAGATTTGCAATTTTTTATTATATCATAAGCATATAGTGCTTTTTTTGGAGGGGGGGAATCTTGCTCTGTCACCCAGGCTAGAATGCAGTGGCATGATCATAGCTCACTGCAACCTCAAATTCCTAGACTCAAGTGATCCTCCTGCCTCAGCCTCCCAAGTAGCTGGGACTACAGGTAAGCGCTACCACACGGGACTAATTTTTTTTTTCTTTCTATTTTTGGGGGTCTTGCTCTTGCTCAGGCTGGTCTCGAACTCCTGAGTGCAAGGCATCCTCTGGTGTTGGCCTCCCAGAGTGCTAGAATTATAGGCATGAGTTGCAGCACCTGGCCCCTATGCTTTTGAAAAAAAAAAAAAAAGTATGTCAAATAATAAATGATTGAGGGCTGTCACCTCTTGCCCTCCTGGCTCCACTAGGCTGCCATGCCGACCAAATTCACTTGTGTGCCCAGAGCCCTGTACCAAGCCAGCCAAACAAGGAATTCCTGCCCAACAACCATGCAACAAGAGTGCTTGGTTTTACTGAAATGCTTTCTCATTCTTGAAAGCAATTCTGAGTTCCTCAGCTGCACAGCTATGAGGAAGAGCTGTTAGGGGTCTTGTAAAGCTAGAATCAGATAACCAGGCAGCACAACAAAGAGGTTGCTGGGCAGTGCCTTGTTTGTCCTTGGCCAAGGCCAGCTCAGCTCTCTGTGACTCCCAGAACCCAAAGGGAAGGTGCACTCCACAGGAAAGTTCTGGTCCTTAAGCTTCTTTTCTTTCTGCTAGAAGATGTATGGCTTTCGTGTAAGAGATTTCTATCTATGGATATTCCTAAGTGAGTTTTCCACTTTTTCCCAGAACCTGCTTTTGAAATAATTTTCACTGAGATTTAACAGATACCCAATTTAACAACCTAAAGGGGAGCTGGAAAGAAAGCGCTTCCCAGTGCATATTGTTTGACACTGCAAAAAGTCACTTACAAAAGATTTTTAGGGATGAGTACTTTTTTTATTAAAATTCCACACAGGGGCCAGAGAAATCTCTGGCCTTAAAATTCTGGGAAGTGACTATAGTTCAACCAAGGGATGCATATCACACAACTCCCAGAAAATAAACTGGAAAGTCAAGCTGTTCTCAAAGACCTCTCCAGTCATTGGAAATGTGGCTGGGCCCTCACTTTCTCTCTCATAAACAACATGCACAAGTCTGATACTATGGCAAGAAAAGCTTGAAACCTCAATCGTTCCTGAGTTGGTGTGGTCTGCATATATTTTCTGTGCCATTCTCCTCCTGAAGCAACCACTGCACACTGTTTGGGATCCAAGTTAAGGGGACAAAAAGGAGGGAGTGGCATGGAGCAGAAACAAGGCTAATGAAGGGGAGGCAAGGGTTGTTGATTTTAACCAGGCAATCAACTCATAGACTGTAGGAGCCAGCCTTGGGGAACACCCACCAAGAAACAGTCATTAAGAACAAAACTGTGACAGAACAACATAACAAAAACAAAAGCAAAGCAAAACAAAACAAAACCTGGCTAATTGAGTGCCCTTGTTGCTTTGATTACATCTCATGGTGATTATCTGTTTACAAACCCATCTGCCACAGTGAACCACCAGTTGCACAAAAGCAGGGACCACCCTTCACCATGTCTAAACTCAGCACTTCTTCAGTAAAGAAGTTAAGCCACTTCTTACCATTTCTGCTGCCATCGCCCAAACTCAAGCCTCCATCATCGCTCTCCTACACTGTTTCAACAACAATAACCAAACCTAGCATTTAGAGGGCACTTATTCTGTGCCAGGCACTGCTTTAAGGACTTTGATGGAATTTACTTATCCAATCCTCAAGGGTTGGACAAGGTTGTGGGGGGGTGGGTAAGTAAATTTCATTTCAAGCTGTCCTCATAGATCTCTTTAGTCACTGGTCTCAGATCTAGCTGGCCCCTCACTTTCTCACTCATAAACAACATGCAGAACAACATCAACTTTCCACAGATTAGAATGCTAGGCTCAGAGAGACTAAGTAAACTCTTCCAGGTGGCACAGCTAGACTGGCAGAACTAGGATGGCTCTCAGCTGACTTCCCACTGTGCCCTGTCACAACGATGCTGCCTACAGCAGCCAGAGGGAGATGAGCTATTCAAAACTTGAAACTCATCAAAAAACACTTCAGTGGTTTCCTCGACCTGCTGGGATAAAGTTGACACCCCCACCCGGGCCTGCAGAGCTCCCCTCACCCATTCTGTTCTATGATGTACTCTGCTGCGTCCGGACCTTTGCATTTGCTTTTCCCTCTTCCAGAAACACCCTTCCTGTGCTCACATTGCTGGCTCCTTTCCAACCTTAAAGTCTTAGCTTAAATCTGGCCTTTTAAGACAGACTGTCCCTGATTAACCTCTCCATTTCCTCACCAAAGCACTTAACTCGACCTGAAATCACTTTAGTCATGAATCTGGAGCCTGCTCTCCACCCGCCTCCTTAATACTCTGTGGGTTCTGAAGACCTGCCGCATCTGTTCTGAGCCCTCTGTGCTTGCGCCTGGCACAAAGCCTGGCACACAGTAGGCGCTCAATGCAATCTGTGAACCCGATGAACGCTGGAAGAAAGCCCTGCATTCTTCCGGGTCCCTGAAGCTCAGGCCATCGGCTCCAGGCCCAGGCGAGCCCAGAGCCCGGCCAGGCGGCAGCAGCCGCGACCCGATGGCTCAGGCCAGGCTCTGAGGTGAGAAACGGGGCGGGGGCTCCTCACCTGAGCGTCGCGGCTGCCGCGCCAGATCGGCCCTGCCAAGGTCAGCCAGCGGTTCGGCCCTGACGCCTGGTCGTCCACCCTCCCGAGCTTCAGACCCTCGCGGCAGAGACGGTCCCCGGGACCAGGCAGCGACGAGCCCCGGAACGGGGCCCCATCCCGGGCGGAGATTGAGCTGGCGTGTCCTCCGGCTCGGGCTCTGGCGGGCTGGCGGCGTGGCCAGGCCAGGCCAAGACAGGCTGGGCCTCGTCCGGCGCTGGGCCCGTTCCCCCGGCAACGGCGCGGGCTACGGCGCCCCACAGCGGCCAAACCGCGCTGCGTCACTTCGCGCCTGTACCCTGGCTCGGGGCGGGGCTTGCCAGAGACCCCCCTGGCGCCTCAGCGGGCCAATTCCTGTTTTTTTTTTTCTAACCTTTCTCCTAGAAAACCCACTTTCCCCCATCCCGGATCCCCAGTTTGCCTTCCCAGAATCCTAACTTGTCCCAAACGCGCCTCCCATCCAGTTCCTCCCCGGAGACCACCACTGTCAGGAAGACCCTCTTGTCAACTTGCACACTTTAACTAGAGTATGTGCTGGGCACGGACATACCATGGGGAACACCCAGGAGATCCCGGCCCTTCAGGGAGCTTACATGTTAAAGGGGAAACTGATCTAGACAAATAAATTACACAACTAAAAATGCAAGTATCCCATAATATAAAACGTTAAGTATAAGAGCTTAAAATATGTAGTACAAAATATTTCTTTTATTGCCTTTAAATCAAGCATAAATCCTACCGAAAGCCCACATCTTCCAGGCTGATGGGAAATTCAATCTTGGCCTCCATTGGGCTCCTCTTAGCCAGATCATTCCACAGGACTCATGATCTCCTACAGAAACAAGTGTTACAGCTCTTTTAGAATTTGTCTAGCAGGTTTTCCTGTCCTTAATATAAGACCCCCAAAATAAAACAAAACAAAAAACCTTCCAATCCTGGGTCTTCTTCAGTACTAAGGCCACAGACATTGGTTTGGGCTATGTGGGTGGGGCCATGCCTGCTGAGGCCCTCACCCCTCCCTGGGGCTGCAGGGGACAGACACCTGCTTGATCTGTTCCAAGGCCTGTAGTCTTGCTTCCCTTTCCCTGCCTAGGGGACCTCTGTGCTGACCTGGCTTCCCTTCTCCCCTTCTCCTTGGGGACACTCAGAGTGGATTCTCCCATGAGCCCAGTCTTTCTCAAAAAACAGGAAGAGCCTTTGTCTTTTGCTAGCTATCCTATCCAGATCTCCAAGGCCCTAAAGTGGTGAGCAGCTGGCTAGCTATCTTCTCAGAGCGGGCACACAGAGATAGAAAACACCCTATATCTCGAAAATGTGTAAGGCACAGGCATATAATAAAAGCGACATAACTATTCATGCTCACATGCCAGTTGTGTGGGTCCTTGTGCAAGTGACTTAAGTTCTGTGTGATTTAAATTTTTGTTTTCAAGACTGATAAGCTCAAATTCCATGTGGAATCAATATCAATGCTACTCTGGCTTCAGAAATACAAGATGATTCTTTCACTCTTATCTGAATTGGAGAAATGAGGGTCAAACAGAGATAGTGACCCAGAAATCAAGATGGAGGATGACCCCGTGTATGCCCATAGGAAAAGGAGGGACCTAAGAGTCATAGCCTTCTAGACCTTGGATCCACCTGTCTTCTGGGCACTTCTCCTGGATGTCCCATGGGTGTCTTAGATGTAACTCATCCCCACATGCCCTCTTTGTCCTTGCCACAAACCTGCTCCTCCCTTGGGGCCTCTGATAGATACCACTGTCTACTCAGTCAGTCTATCTCTACACTCAGGCATCTTCCCATGTCTCTCCTGCTAGTCCTTGCCCACCTAATCCAAACAGTCCCCAAGACCAGGGCAGGGCGTCCTTCCTCTGAACATGTCCTGTGTCCATTCTTCCTGCTCCACTGCAGCCCAGACCACCAGCATCTCCCTTGCTGACCCTTCAGCAGCCTCATGTTTGGTCTCTCTAACATCAGCCCCCTATTTCCAAGCCATGCTCCTCCCAGCTGCTAGATTTGTCTTTCTTCCTCTTATTTGGTTAAAGTGGCTGGTAGTCTGAACAAGAACGCTCCCTAAAATTTCCTTGCCCTAATCCCTGGAACCTGTGAGTGTGTTACCTGACATGTCAAAAGGGATTTTGCAGATGAGATTAAGGTAAGGATCTCGACATGGGGGAGATTCTCCTGGGTTATCTGGGTGGGCTCAATATAGTCACAAGGGCCCTTACAAGAGGGTGGCAAGAGGGTCTTTGTGGGACAAGGACATGTAATGATGGAACAGAGGTCAGAGAAATTTGAAGACACTACACCGCAGGCTTTCAAGATGGAGGAAGGGACCGTGAGCCAAGGAAGGCAGGTGGCCTCCAGAACCTGGAAAAAGCAGGGAAACAAACTCCCCCCGTGAGTTTCCAGAAGGAACCAGCCTGCTGTCACCTTGACTTTAGCCCCATGAGATCTATTTCCAACTTCTGACCTCCAGAACTGTAAAGATAATTCGTTACAGCAGCCATAGGATTTCAAACAGGGTTAAGGGCACATACATAATAATAAATTAAAGCTGTTTTCAGTTGAACAGAAATCCAAGTGACAGCTCAGATTCCCGTGATGTCTTTGTGAGTGACTCCAGGCCAGGCTTTCTGAGGAGTCTCTCACCCCAAATCTGCTTTTTAAAGGCACAGGCAGTTTGAGCACATGTTGTTTCTGAGTCTGTTGTCATCATGTGGTCCCAATCCAGAAGCTGACATAACCCAGGACATCCCCGACTGAGGAAGGCCACACATTGCTCGTCCCTAGGCAGGCAGAGGGCAGAGTAATCTTTCTAATGTGAAAGCACCGCCTCATCAATCTTGTTTAAGATACTTCCACGCACACACATGCATTTGTGTGCCTTTAGGAGCAAAGGATCGAAGCCAAAGCATGGCTTCCAAGGCCCTGCTGGGCAAGCTTCTGGTCTGTGGCACTCATACCTGTCCTCCGTCCTTATCCTGCAGATCTTAGAGCCAGCAGCATTTGCTTCTACCCATAGGCCTTTTCGCCGCAGGGTTCCTTTTACCTAGAGAGTTGTTCCAGGTCCTCCGAGCCCCACTCCCTCTGCCAATTTCTATGAAAACGTGAGACACATTTTTCTGGGACAGAAGTCAGCTCCTCAGGCAAGGTTTGTTCCTGCCTGGAGCTGCTGCCCCTGATATGCAATGCAAGTTTGTCCAGAGAAGACGAGCCTGGACCACGGGGAGAGAAAGGCCAACCGTGTTTCTACAGGCTGGCACACATGCATGTGAGCTGACTTACGTGACTCTTTGAAACTGCCAGACACTCCAGGGCAGGCAAAGCCAGCTTATCCCGCCCTGGGCCTGAACAAGCACTATGTCCTTAATTAGAGCCAGTGTATTCCCCGGCTCCCTGGCATTTCCTGTTCCAGGGCAGGTCTGTGGTTACTTGGTTCAATCCCAATGCTGCCAATCACCAGCTGGTGACCTTGAGCCAATCTTTTCACCTCCAAATCTCAATTTGCTCTTGTGTGAAGTAGGGGTAACATAGCTACTGCACAGGGCTGTGGTGAGGCCTGGAACTGTAATTGTGCACTTAGAGAGAGTTCAGTGGCACTAATCCTTGGTGCCTCTAATCGAGATCATCCTTGTCTTTCTACCGGGAAATGATGCTGTACGTTTCATCAACTAATGGAATTAAATTTAATTGTCAAATTAGCCTGGGTGGGAGATGGTCAGCTACAGCTCTTGCTTGCTGGGTCCACTTTGTCTAGGTCACAGTACCCTCTCCAACAGGCCCTGCATGAGTCGGCCCATCCACCTGGCTTGTCCCCATGGCCACCAGCATCTCTTGCCCTGGCCAGCAACACAGCCTCCTGACTGGTCTCTCAGCTTCCACTGGAGGCCTCCTGTCCCCTACTCCCCCATGAGACCATTCTCCTCACTCTACCTGTGGCTGTCTTTGAAAAAAACAAAGACACACCAAGCTGATTATTTTGCTTCCTGATTACAACCCTCAACAATTCTCCCTGCTCTTCTGGGAGAGGTATTTCCATATACCATGAAATTGGGATCAAAACCTCCTCCTCCCCCGGCCACCGCAGTTCTCCAAGACTGGCTCCAGCATCCTTGAGAGTGGCCCTTCCTTTTCTAGAAGGACTAGGCACCCCCTATCCTAGGGCCTTTGCACTTGAAGCTCACACTACCTGGAACATCGCTTTATCTGCCCCCAGAATAAAAGAAGCCATCACTCTGCACAGTGCCATGGGACTCTGCTTTCTAGTTCCTTCTGTCCAGGGCTACTGGATTATGTAATGATCTGATAAGGGCCTGTCCCTCCAGCCAGACAGAGAACCCATCTGGGAGGAATGAAGTTTTTCTCGCTCACCATTGCTTCCTAGCACACAGCCTTGGAATGCAGCAAGCACCCAAGAAATGTGTGTTGAATGAAAGAAGCAATGAATGAAAGGATACTACTGCTGACAGGAATTCTGGGAAGGCTTTTGTAAGTAAATAACCACTCCTTGAATTATTTTTGTGTAAAAATCGACTTTCCTATATTGTCGTCCCTTCGATGTAGTAAATCTATTTTTCCCATGTCCCTTGTAAAGATTTTTTTATTTATTTTATTTTTTTAGAAAAGTCCATATATTTTATATAAAGCTTTAAGCATATTTAACGATGTTATAGCTACACATATAGGAATAATTGCAGATGCTGTAAAATCATAATGGTATGCAAAGGAATGACAGGTACCAAATCACGGGCAGTGGGACCCTGTCTGACAGAGAGGAAATGTGTTTTGGGAAGGGTACAAACCGGGCTTCAAATGTATTGGTAATGCATTAATTGTTAAGCTCAGTTGTACACACGTTACACAAGTGTTTATCCTAATATTTTATGACATTTTATCTGAGGTTTTACAATTTTAAAATGTCAAAACGAGGGAAGGGACCAAAGAAATGTTACGAGCATAGAAGAATATGAGCGTGAAAGAGGAAACAGACCTAGCCTCGGCAGTTCCAGCAGATTCCACTATAAGACGGTATTTGTGCCGATTCTTTTTTTTTTTTTTTAATTTTAGCTTGTTTTCTTTATTTGCACAAAACAATGCTATCTAAATGGGAATAGTATATATATATTTTTCCCCAAATTCTGTGGGTACAAATATTGTTAGGGTTACATATCTTGCCACTGCCCCCCTCCCCAGCCTGCTCTGCCAGAGCTTCAAGCATGTCCAGTTTTCAAGTGGTGCGC